CTCTTTTCCATGCATGCTCTCTTCTCTCATATAATTTACGAAGATAGCTGGGAAGGTAGATGGTTTTTGGTGGAACTGAAACCATGGGAACGTATCTATCAATGGCATGGTGCAGAATGAATAAAAATAATTCATACATATCGTTAATGTTATTAGCTGAGTTAAAAGATCCATACCAATCTATATCAGCTAAGTATTTAATCAAATTGTCCCAGTCTGCATGTTTATAGTCTCTACGTATAATATGCTCCGTGCGACCAGCGTAGTGTTTGAGTAAGAACCTAACTGTTGCATGATCACTTGACCCCAACGGTGCCTCAACTCGAACCCTTTTGATCAAGTCTTCATCATTTGTTAAAACTAGGTCCAGGAGATTCTGTCCCAATGTATGGGAATGTACTTTCTGTGATAATCCGTATAACTGACACATGTTCAAGAAATTTCTTGAAGCTGTGCCACCCTTGGCTGCGGGTTGGGCTGCCCAATCAATACCGGGAAAGTTAAAGTCACCCATAAGGACCAAAGCTTTACTGCAACCCAAAAGATCTGTGATGGCTTTTATCATTTGTTCAGTTTTGTTTACACTGCAGGAGGGGGCTCTGTACACTATAATGATACGCACTGAGACATAAGCAAGGATATCAACACAAAGTATCTCATAACTATCTGCTACTGATTCACTGAACACAAGATTTGGATTTAGATTGCATCGGATTATAAGAGCTACACCCCCTCCTCTTTTACCAACTCTATCGCACCTATGAATGACAAAATTATCAAAATTCCCAAATAGAGAGCTGTCGCTGACTTCATCACTCAACCAGCTTTCAGTTATCCCTATAATAGCCAGGTTTTGGTTACGCATACAAAAAGTCAGACTACATATGTTCCTGCAGAGAGATCTGATATTAGTTAAGAGGCATTCAAGGGAAAGATCCCCAGTCCGAGGAAAATCTACCCATTTAAATTATCAGAACAATTCGCGCCCTTTTGAGGCTGCTGACCATGCACATCAATCGAATCAATGCGATCAATAACGGCCGCGGGCGACCGGGTCACAGACATCGAAGACATCGATCGATTAGCTGTATTGCTTCGTCGAGCTTCCCTCTCCTTCCTGGCCCTATCCCTCTCTTCTTTTGGAAGAGAGGGCCTTAAGAAAATGCCTTTTGAAGGAAAGTATTTCAACTGTGAAGCCCGACGTAGCAAAAGATTGGCAAAGTAGGATGAAGGCAAAACAATTTTGAGAAGTCTGTCCCTAGAAGGATGTGGCCTGCCCAATTTTGGCTTTTTACACAATAAGCCAACATTTCGGCGGTCCGTCCGCCTTCTTCAAGGCTTCATAAGAGGTCGAGACTTTTGCGAACCGCCCGATCAAATGCCTTGTTTGGCAATAGATTATTTTAGCTATGTGACGGAGTGGCAGAGTAGATGTTGAAAGCCTGACTTCAGCCTTGCCAGATAGGGATATAGAGGCCGAACAACCAGTACTGTGCTGTAGCTGCGCTATAAGTGAGTATGATAGTCAGTGTCAACAATGTTCTTTATATGGTTAGAGATCTCGTATCAGAATCCACATAGTGTTTGATAGGAGAACAGTTCGTTGTTTATAGCAATACTTTCATCTTTGCGATTTTCGGTGTTTTAGACGCTATCCAAAAGGCTCCAACATTCTGCGGATTGTTAATTCGATGATGTTGAAATTTGTCCAAACTGCAAAATCTTTTCCCCACCTTTGAGACAGGGAAGCAATCTATGCAAATTTCGGAATTTGATCAAGAAGTTTGCAGAAGTTCTTTGATGGCGCGCCACGCCCCTCCCAGACAAATCCTCTCGAGACCTTCAGAAAAAGAACCGTCGCTGCTCTTCTTGTGAATATGCAGCATTTTGGTTTTGTAAAGAATAGGAAGTACTCTTTTTTAGTCCATTTCTATAGCAAGCGTACAGCATACACGTTCTCTTCCTCTCCCCTTCCCCTCCCTCGACTAATAGTGCACAATAGATTTTATCTCTTGCATCCACTTTTCGCTCTCTCCGGCTTCCGCTAGAAATGCAAAGAATTTTACAAAAACCCTCAGAGAATCACTTCTGTTTGCCTAAGTACTGTGCTTTCGATCACATAGTGACCGAACAGCACTTGACGGTAAGAGTGCGTGTGGGTTTGGAATGTGCGGTAGAAGGGGGGGAGGGGGGTATGGGGTGAGGTCAGAATGTTGAGGGGCGCGTTAGTTTTGTAAATCTTATTCAGTGTCAAATATGTGTTTGTGGAAGATTGTGTTTAGTGATTTGCAGCTTTGCTTTCCAGAACTTTCTCAAACGGTAGTTCCCGCCAAAAGCTCAAAGGCGTCATGAGTGGAGTGGATCTTTTCTCTCTTACCTAATCTGCTACTGAAAAGTAGTAGGAGAGATTTTCCTACTTGTAGAGTTTTCCAAAATCATTTTTTAATTCCAGAATACTCATAATACTGTTAATTTCTTTTCATTTTGAGGCATAATGATACGCTATGGTTTGTACCTTCTGAATCACACAATTTTCATACTAGATCTCTTTTTCATGATTATATAGAATTGTAGTTTGCTTTGACCGCCATTATCGAATCAGACTTGAAAAATTCGAGATTCTACTCATCAATTAATGAGTAAATCTACAACGTGAGACCTTCATTTTAAATCTGATAGCAGTGAGAAATGCAATTATTGTTATTTCATTCTCAGACAAATCACCGGCACTTTCGCAGGACAAACCAAATTTCCAGAAGCTCCGCAGGATTTCGTTGACTATTTCAAAAATGAAAAGGCTGAAAATCGGAACTTCCGCAGGACCTCAGGTGACTCGGCGGAACTTCCGCAAGCGCTCTGCAGAAGTTCCGGTCATTTGTCTGAGTTTTAGAGAGTAAACTGCTGTCACAAACTTCTGCTTCAAAAAAATTTCCTGAGGAGAAAACGCCTAGGACACACCTCTCAAAGGCCCTGTTAAATCCCATGCTCATTGGAACCTTCTGAATCCTCTATATCTCTGGACAACTCTAACTATACTTAGTCTAGGAGTGTGAAAACTTCAGCTTTGAAAAGAACACTTTTCGAAAATTCTTGAGCGGAATGCTAGGTGTAAAAAAGCCATGTTCATTCAATTATTCCTTCATATTTCAACTTGGATTTTTAGCATTATTTTGCAAATTTCTGTATTGGTCATTTATAATTATCATGACAACGGATTCGAGCCCATAGGAGCATAAAATAGTCATACAGAATGGCATCGCCTCAACGCTCAGCTAAATCTTATATATAAAGCTGAATGTCTGTTTGTCTGTATGTATGTATGTCTGTCTGTCTGTGTGTACGTATGTTCCGAATAGAAAATTCCATTTCTGAACCGATCGGGACCAAACTTGGCACACATACACTTCGGGCCCCGGCGGATGTCATAGGCTACTGCTCAAATATTGCAAAAAATCGATAAAATCGACATCGGTCGATAAAGAAAAGTGGACTGTGACACCCGCCGGGGCCTGAAGTGTATGTGTGCCAAGTTTGGTCCGGATCGGTTAAGAAATGGAATTTTCTATTCGGAACATACGGCGGAGCCGGGTAAGCCAGCTAGTACCGTAATAAACATTGTTTGAAAACTATCAAATGTAAGCAGAAAAACCGCACGAGTAGAGATGAAAACCAAAAAAATGCGGTTGTCGCAAGTGCGTGCGCGCGCGCGCGGTCGCGACATTACCACGATTCTTCGAATGCACTATACCTAAGAGGAAACTGCAATTGCTCTTTATTTATAAAAGACAAACTTTTGAAAGGTCAAAGTTATTCTGTGTCCAGGCATGCCATTATCGCCGTGCTACAGTAGGCAAATGGCAACCCGTAGATTTATATATGTTTAGATTTATTTATGTTTGAAAACTCATTGTCTGCAAATCAAATACGAACTATAAGAAATACGGTAAAAGCACAGATAAGAAGACTTCCTAGATGATTTGACACCTCCTATTGCAAATCTGTCCATTTTTAAGGAAGTTACAGCCAGTTGAATCTCAAATGCGTTCTAAGATAGCTTTATTGCATACGTGGGCAATATTTGTTCAAGAAAACCTGCTTCGAATGGCTTATATATTTAGAAAGTATCGTTATTTGCATTTTCCCTGTTCGCTGCCTGCTCAACTAATTTCTTAGTGGCTAAATCTAGTCGATTAGAATTTCGATCAGAAACTATTTTTTTCTCGTTCACTTGTTATCGCTTACTCATAATTCAGCAAAGCTATTATTTCCACTTTTTTGTTAGTTTACGTCACTCATAATCTGTGTAAAATCTTCTAAACATGTTCGTCTCTCTCCTGTGTTCTTGTGCAATCTAAGCTTTTGAACCATAAACAAAAATGAGACGCATGTTCCTTTACTTCGGGACTAATTCTCGCTTTCGCCGTTAAGATCAAGTCACTATATGGCAACGGGTACATTGAGCGTTATGTAGAAGCCTTTTCATAAGCATAAGTATTCACTAACACATGCAAAAGTTTGGGGACCAGTTCACGCTTACAAAAAAAGAGCTGACGTGGACTTAGTTTTATGAATTTGAACTTTCTTCTCATCTAATCGGGCATCCCCAGTGGCGTACCGAGGGGGGCGGGGGGGGGGGGGGCGCGCGCCCCCCCCTCCCCCCGAGAATGGGTCGCGAAATTTTTAAAAGTTACTTAAATGTGTTATAAAAATGTGCAAAGGACTTGTCTTTACTTGTAAATAATTAAAATAATTTTTAAAAATTTTTAAAAATACAAATTAGCCTTGCAAAAAATTTTTTTCGGGGGCGTGGCTAACGCCACGCCCCCTTCTTCCAGATTTTAGGACGTTTCGTACATTGCTATTTGGCTTGGCAATGCCGTGTATCAAGGACCATTTCTCGTTGACTTGTTGCTTATTACTTTTCTGGGACAGCCCATATTCTTTGTGTCTGAGATTCATTCGTGATATATAAGGCTCTCTAGCTACAATGCATTATTTTCAGTGTCGGGGACCAGTTCTCGCTTAATGTTTGTCATGGCCGTGTAGTGTATATGACTCGAACGCTCTTACAGATGGTGGATGGCTGAATTGACGGGCTCGATCTCGTCGATCGGAGGTGGCGCGTCTGCCTTCCTCCCATATCAAACAACCAGCTATAATCTGCCGGCACCTTTCTATAATACTGCCAATAAGCAAGCACTACCCTACACGAACAGAGAACAACCGGTAAAATTTCGCCTCTATTCTAATTTTTCGTTTATCATCTATTTTCTTTCATTTTCAATTATATCCTATTCTGCTATTTGTACATACCTTTTGATTCAACTGGCCTGGCGGTTGGAAGGCGGTGCTTCGTGACCTAATTAAGGCTAGATAATGATCAGAGAGCATGCGCGCGAGAGAGACGCAGACTGCGTAGTGGGCGCGAGCGCCCTTAATTAGGTCACAAAGCCCCGCCTTCCAGCCGCCAACCTAATTGTATCAAAGATTGATTGTGATGCCATAATCTTGGAGATTTTGATATAATTTTGTTGTGCCCAGTGTTAAGGACGACGCACCTTTTGCATGATTTTTCGAGAAAAAACTGTTCAAAGAGTCCTAGTCTGCAAGGTGTCAAAATCACACCATCAAGAAAATGCACTGGTGCAAAGATAAGAGGGCTCATAGCATTATTTTGAAATCCTGTGATGATCAAATATAAGAATCCTTCTTTGTTACAATGTTAGAAACCCTTTTCTGCTGCAATGGCACTTTCTATTAACTTTTCCTTCGTAAGTTCATTTTTTCCATATTTGTTTTCTTCTCTTTGAAAAACCACAGAATACGTATAGTGTGGACCCCGGCTAGGTTCCCGGTACTTCCGCAGCGCGCACGCAGCGCGCGCCCTTCTCAATGCCTCTTCCCTCACTATGAGCATAGAGCATATTTATGCTCACAAAGGAGAAAAATGTAAAGTGGAAACCTCTAGGTTCCCTTCGAAAGAGACGTATGCAAGATTGAAACGCAGGCAACTTCCATGAATACCTCAAATTCAATCATTGGATGCATATTCCAAACTTGCACTGACGAATAGGTTGTAATAACTATACGTAGAAAAATTAAAGAACAGCAGCATTTTTAAAACGTTTCTCTTCGTAGACGTACAAACTGAGTGGTCAAAGATTCCGAAAAAATTGGATATTTCAGTAAACAAATGCCTGTTGGCTCTCGGAAGGCTCAGTTTTGGCTTGAGACACTGTCTACACCTTATCAAACCGAAAGGGACTCTTATCTTATACAAGAAGCTTCTGAAAAAATATTATCTTAATATCCAATCAAATCTCAATTTTTCAGAGAAAAAAGGGAAAACACAAGACTACTATACAAAGTGAAGCTCTAACTATTAGAGCACGTATAATCTCGTCACCGGTCATCGCGAACTGATTATACCTAAAATAGAGAGAATATAATACACCAAAAACAAAAAAAAGAAAGAGAAAGGAGGATTTCCATCAGAAGCTAGGACAGACGCACTGAAGGCGTGCGTTGCGGGTGCGTAGCGCAGGTACCTATGGGAAGCTGGCCGGGGTCCACACTATAACTTTTCACCTTTACAGTATCCTTTAACTCAACTGGATTGGCGGCTGGAAGGCGGGATTCGTGACTTAGTTGAGGCTAGGGAATGATCAGAGAGCACGCACACGAGAGAGACGCAGACTGTGTCGCGGGCGCGAGCAGCCTCAATTAGGTCACAAAGCTCCGCCTTCTAGCCGCCTATCCAGTTGAATCAAAGGTTACGTCATTCTGCATTAGCGTTGCGAAGAGAATTAAAGTGCTACGTTGCTTCTGAGAAATTTGAGATTTTTTCAAAAATGCTTGGTGAAGCAGCAGTTGACACCTCATGTTATCATCACTTCTCATAATCGCGTAGGATGACGTTCTCATATTGACATTATGGGTGCCAATCGACCACTCCCCCCCCCCCCACCCTTTGTTTTTGGTTTAATGATGGATTTAGCTTTATTTTGACTTTCATAAACCTTTACAAAACTTCACGTTGTCCCACTTACATTCTTTGATTGCTTCCCTGAATACGTAATAATTTCATCTTCAAAAAATAATACATAAATCAAGATTAACTTGATAAACGGCTTTACTGATTGAGGGAAAGTGACTTTGAGTTTAGAGATGAAAGAGCTCGATCACTTTTCTTGAAGACTCTAATTTAGACAATTCACCGAAATTCCGCAGGACAAGTCAGATCTGCAGCGGTTCCGCAAGACTTTGTTTACCATTACAAAAGTAGAAGCCTCAAAAATGGGAACTTCCTTAGGACATTTACGTTGAACTGGTTGAAGAGGGGAACTTCCGCAGGACTTTCTACAAAGTGCTGCGGAAATTTCGAAAAATGCCAGCTGTTCCGCAGCACGTTGGCCTGCCAATACCTCCGCAAAGTTTCGTATGTTTTATCTCTTTTAATATTCTCTCGCCAATAACTAGATGCATTTTCGAACATGTAATCCTTAGTGGAGAAGATAGTGAGTGAGTCTCGCAATTAATAGAGTAAACTTCAAATCTCGTTTAGGTGTTCTTTTTGCTGTTGTGGTTCGCATTCTTCGGAACTTCCGCAGTTTAGGGACCTCCGCAGGTGACTCAGCGGAACTTTCCCAAACGTTCTGCGGAAGTTTCGGTCGCTTTTCTGAGGTGTAACAATTTCTTTTTCTAAATACTTTCAAAGATTCAGCGCTTCGCCATTTGAAGTGAGAAAGCACCAACTTTGAGTTATCGTGTGCGAAAAGAAATCTTTTATTGTACTTATGTGACTCGCGAATCTCCACGAGTTATCAGCTGAGTTTTCCCAAAATTTCCCCGAAAATAAATTAGCATAGCACCTTGGAAAAATAATGCAAACTATAACTACCGGTATAACTCCGCGGAACGTCACAAGAATGAAGTCTGGATGCAAGCATGTGTGCAAAAAAAAACTCTACACTATTTTCCAAAAATTTCAATGAAATTTTTGAATCAAAATTCAGCCGTGTGACTTCCCATCATCGTTTTTTTCTTCAAACTGTGAAAGGCGAATCAGTAAGCAAAACAATTCAAAGTACTTGCAAACTCATCTGATTCAACTGATTTATTTATTGGAGCGTTGCCAGAATCCAAAGTAGAGTGTTCGTGGGACAAATGTTGCTTAGAAGACGAAAAGAGGGCTAGACTTTTTGAAAACAAAATCATCGCGGAACTTCCGAAAGTGCGATATATCCAAATTTAAATGATGGTAAAAAAAAAGTTCATGGATGCCGCGCATAGTCACAATTTTTTGAAAGTGTTTTCTCTTTCGCCTCTGTCAAACTTCAACTTTTTGAAGATTACGAAATTCCAAAAAAATTCTGGAAGAGCGCAGCCGGCTATGCATCTTCCATACTTGCTCTTGTAGCAAAAGCATTTTTTTCGAAAAAAGACGTTCATGTGTGAACTAAAATGCATCAAATATGATTTTTGCAAAGATGATTCATATAATTGTTCACTAAACTGGTTTCACTGACAAAATCTTGGTGTATCGCCAGCAACAAACCACGTACTCTGCAATTACCTCGTAACAGTAAAAGTTCTTTTTTTTCTTGCAATGATCGCAGCGACGCAGGGACCTTGGCGTACCGAGGGAGGAGGAGGGGGTTGCGAAATTTTTGAAAGTTGTTCATCAATTTTAACAAATTTAAAATGTTCAACAAGTTAAACTACTTACATGAGTTATAAAAATGTGCAAGTAACTTGTTTATACTTGTGAGTGGTTAGAATAATTTTAAATTTGAGAAATTCAATTTAGCTTTCTTTTGGCTCACGCCACGCCTCTTTTTTTCAAGATTTCGAGGTTATGGGCCCGCGAAAATTTTAAGAAGCACACCAAAAAAATTTTTTGGGTCGCACTCCCCCGGACGTTGGGTACGCCACTAGTAGGGACCAATATTGAATGTGAATTGAGTTCTAACAAAAAATATCCTCACATTTCTGAATTTTTAGGGTCACAAATAAGGTGTTTGACTTTGTTAGTGCAATTTTTTTCTCAGAAAATGGGATTTTTTTATTACATCAGCTAGGCTTGTAAGAAAATATTTACTTTGTTTTTTGATTACAGTTCTCTAAGTCTATTACGATCATCCAAATGATAGAAGAGACAGAATTATTTCCAGTTTCCTAATTCTTTTTTTGCAAAAGTGTGGGAGCTAAGAAAATTTCTTGTGCTCCTTTTTTTTTCTTTTTCTCATTACCTTTCCTATCACGTCACAATCTTCTTCCACGAATAATCTGGTCATAGTACAAGTTTATAGGGTTAATTTGTCACCTTATTTCATCAGACTTATTTTATCAATTTTTACATTGCTAAGAATTTAGTGCACACCACACTCATTTATTTGCTGAATCAAAAAAACTCCTAGGAAGATCTTACTGCTGAAACGTCTGCAAGAATTTGGCGCGTATATTATACATCATAAGAAACAGGAAATATCTTTTAAAAATCTGCGTTTCGTCACTTTCAGGGTATAATGTGTTCCTTGACGTAAAAAATCAAAATAAAAAAAAACAAAATACACCCTTTGATTCAACTGATCTGGCATCTGGAAGGCGGGGCCTCGTTACGCTAAGGCTAGGTAGTGATCAGAGAGCACATGCGCGGGGAACTGCGTCGCTGTCGCGAGCGACCTTAATTAGCTCACGAAGCCCCGCCTTCCAGACGCCAAGCCTGTTGAATCAAAGGTTACTCTTTATAATCTTCTAATTCTTGTTATTTCCACCTTACATCCCAATGGCGGTCTGAGTTTTTTGTGACGAGAAGGGGGCGGAGGGGAGAGAAAAAAACTTTGACTTTGGGGTGCTTCACAAATGCATGCGGAAATTTTTTTTAGAATCTGAAAAACGTTTGAATTACTTATCTTTCGGAAGTAAAAACGAGTCAATTTTATAACCCAGGAAGACTTATTTCACAATCGTATGATAGCTTTGTAAGATTGCGCTACTTTTTCAATTTGCACTAAAAATTGCAGGTTCAACAAAAATCCGAGACCCTATTTTCTACATCTTGCAAGCTCCCGATTTGCATGTTATATTGTTTTCTCAACCATTATGACCTGATCTATTCTACAAATTGCAAAAGTGGTGCAATTGCACAAAGCAACTGTTAAATTTACGAGCTTTAGCTTTTGATGTAGCTCTTTGTATGTCCAGTACCAAAAGTAATTATAGATTACATACAACCTCCCGGTTCCCATCAACCTTTTGAGAACATATGTAGAGAAGGAAGGGCGAAAGAACATTTTGGTTCAAAAAGCGCCAAAAAAAATTTTTGCTCCACACGTCACCAAAATCTGAAAACTGATTCTATCTATCTTTATAAAGAGTCGTTGTGCTTATTAAAAAAAGTGAAATGGCGGAAAACCGCGCGGCTCCCGCAGCGAAAGCGCTTGCAGCTCTAGCACCTTTACGACTATGGTTCACTAGTCTTTGAAAAATCAAAAATTATTTTAATGAATTACCAGTGAAAACAAGTCACTTAAACTATTTCATGACCCATGTCGGTTGTAAAGCATATCCTATTGAAAAGCGCGCTCCACCCCTTTCTCCCCCCCCCCTCACTCCTCACACTTTTCCGTCCTTTCCTTCCAATACAGAGATAAAGATGACTGAAGTTCCCCATGTAATTTCGGCGCACCCATAAAAGTACTCAGGGTGATCTTTAACACCATCTTCACTGAGCAAAGTTCAACTGATTCTCGTTTTTTCTTCACAGTCCCCTAGTGTAACCACACATCTGGCGCGCTATCGATTCTACGTGCATTGTTCGTACTCGTGTCGTTCCCAGAGACCTGTGCATTCGGTTTCCCTTTCATTTTAAAATTTCCGAATCCTTGTTATTTTGGCACTAATAACAACAAATTGGAATTCGGGGCACCCATGGGGCTTGCCCATCATTTTCGGCCCCTCGTCGAGCCGACAGGTAGACCTTTACCTTTATTTAGTGCTAAATATGTGTAAACCTATAATTGGGAAAGTGCTGAGAAAAGGTAACCTTTGATTCAAGTGGCTTGCGGCTGGAAGGCGGGGCTTTGTGACCTAGTTAAGGCCGCTTGCACGTGCAATGCTGTCTGCGTCTCTCCCGCCCACGTGCTCTCTCGTCATTATAACCTTGATTAGGCCACAAAGCCCCGCCTTCCAGCCGCCAAGCCAGTTGAATCAAAGGGTATATGAAGGATGAATAGAAAAACACACATATCGCAAGATAGTTGAGATCATAATGAGCATATAATTAGCAATTGAGTACGAACTCCTCGATAATCTCGTTCTCCTCTTTTCTCTCCACCCTTCTCATTTTCCCCTTGACAGCGTGATTCAACCCTTTTGATCTTCTTTTCCTCATTTTTGTTTTATAAGCATAAAATTGCGTTTTGGATCAAACCATTCGTCTTTTTACTATTATTGCTTTTGAAAACCTTTAGTTTTGATAGAAACCATTGCGTGTATCTTGAGCTTCGTTCTATGATCTGCTCTATCAGGGCAGGGGGGGGGGGACGCGATCGAGATTCTTTTAAGGATGTGCGACGCTGGCCACGCCTTCCGAAGATCTATTTGGAATGTTTCCAAACATTCCAGAATAAAGCGTGTTGCAATAACTATACCCCTAATATTTTTCTGCGTTCTAACTCTTATCAAGATCTTATTTACATACGAGATATCTTATTTTTTATATTATTTTTACGATAGTTTGAGACAATAAGCTGCGCAAATTTTTTTCATTGAATGATACTACTTATTTACAAGGGAAATGATGTCATTTACGTAGCTTTACAACTCATGTTCTTTGAGAATTTAGTGACCTCTTTGAAGAGTCGGGGGGGGGGGGAGGGGGGGGGGGTAGATATACCAACCAACCAACTCGATATACCAAGATGTTCGAACCTAATTCAGGCAAGTACTATTATAAATGCACCAGTGGCGTACCGAGGCGCGCACCTCCCCCCCCCCCCCCCGAGAATGGGTCGCGAAATTTTTGAAAGTTACTTAAATGTGTTGTAAAAATGTGCAGAGGACTTGTATTCTTGAAAATAATTGAAATAATTTTTAAAAAATTTGGGTACGCCACTGAAATGCACATATGCAATTGGGCTTTGGGACAGTTGTCATGAGGAGTAGGGGGAGGGACAGATAGAAGTAGGCGAGACTCCAATAGAAGTTCAGAATCATGCAGTAAAATGAGGAAAGAGTAATAAACTTGTCTATCCATAGTTACATTTATCCTGATAAATTCGAAATGTGCGCTTTCTAAAAAAATCCCCTAGAATCCTAGGAAATTTCGTTCGTAAGTTTTACGTCCAGACGCAAAGTTTTTTTGACTGTTACTCAGTTACAACCGAGTTTTTTTTATCAGAAACCTAAACGATAATCGCGATTTTGTCTGGATTTTATGGCTCTGGCTTTATGGGACCAGTTTTGTGTAAAGTTATAAATAGCCGTTACCGAAAGTTGTCACAACAAAGTATACGAAGAGTTTCAAAAATGACATAATGATCTATCGCTGTCACTTCTACCAAAGTTCAAATTTTGCGGATGAGGGGTATATGAAGACCAGAAAAGTAGTCATTGATGAGTGCAATTGACACGATAACAAGTATGATTGATAAGTTGATAAATTTCAAAGATAATGAAAATAAGTATAAATTTATGATGGGTGAAATTTTCTTTCATGCTGGGAGATACAGGTACAAATGCCCCACTAGAAGTCAGAAGAGGGCAATATGAAGCAGATTTTTTTTCAGAGAGCGCATTTCGTTTGAATATGTTGTATATGTATATTTTTTTTTGAGAAAATGAGAGGCAGAACTGATTCAGAAATGCTCCAAATTGTCTTTTTTTAATTTATATTCCTATCAAAGATTTGCAGTTTTTTCCCGGTTAAAGTTACTTTCTATGATCGCGTCCCTCCCCCTCCCCCTATATTTTCCACGATATGATGTGAACTTAAAAAACTGCATGTACAGTGACTCCAAAAACTCTACCCTGGAGGCAAAATCATTCTGTTTCAGTCTTAGAGGCAGAACTTTTTCCAATTTTAGTCCGCTTGCGAAAATTTCAATGATAACAAGGCAGCACAAAAATAGGGGACTATAGAAACAACGTGATTGGTTCCCTACAGTTGCTATGTAGCATAAAATTTTTGAACAAAGAGTGTTCCTTCTTTGATGTCAACATCCCCAAGTATGTGTTTTTGAATTTTAAAAAAGAATGGTAGTCATAAAGCAAACATTCGGCAATATCCTCTGACTAAAAGTTGCGTGGACGGTTCAGGGCAAGATGAATTGATTTAGAGACTAAAAACTTTTGCAAATGCTATAAATTTAAGCGAATATGAGTGGTATCTCCCTTTAATTCAAGTGGCTTGGCGGTTGGAAGGCGGAGCCTCGTTACTCAGTTGAGGCTAGATAACGATTAGAGAGCACGCGTGCGAAAGAGACGCAGACTGCGTTACGGGCGCGAGCGGCCTCAATTAGGTCACAAAGCCCCTTCACCGCCAATTGAATCAAAAGTCAGTAAATCCTTCCCCTTAACAGAACTTATATCTTTTTGCTTTTTAAGTAGAAAGATGTTGTTTGCATCTGCACACACTCGTACGAACCATTTTTGAAAATTCAGCAAAAAATTCCGAATACGTTTAGTTCTACCACCTCCCGTACCAAAGCTCCTCAACGGCGATGCCGCCCGAAAATCAGCCGAATTGCCCTGGCTTGAATCGAGCGGAGCGAAGACGCAACGAAGTTTCGCCGTAAGACCATCATCGTCCTTTACAAAGCTACCGTATCCTTACCGTAATCGTTGCAGTTTCCTTGGTTCGACACGTCGAGGTGCTTTGTTTTGTCGGTCCGGCAATTGGCTGGAAATCCTCGACGAACGAACGAGCCAATTAGAGCAACGACGTGGTGGTATCGGCGATCCTGTACGAGGAACTCGACAAGAAGGCAGTCGATTTAGTGAGTTTCCATTCAAAATACTGTGCATTTGAAAAGCCGCAAGAATGTTGGTCCTTTTGCATATACCGTAATCCTGTACTGCCCCTGAGCTGTGATTGACATGTTGACGCATGATTTTCGTCGCTCTAGGCTTGAGTTATATTAGGACATCGCACAAACATGTCAAATCTTGTAACATTTTTGTTGTCATTGTAGTACTGTAGTGGTGCAAAAAGGCCGTCCATTGAAACGCGTTTTATGGACTTTGTATACAAGAATGGAAATTTGCAGATTTGTATTCGCGGTTATTCGCACATTTTTTGAGTTCTTAAAATACAACATTCGCATGAGTGTTAATAAAATAACTTAATTATTAATCAATAAATTGCCGCAGATAACAACCGTACGGCGAAAGAAAATTATTAAAATCGACATCTGCATAATTTTACGTTCTCTCCATCCCCATTCTGCTTTTTCTCTCAAACTTGCACAATATTATTGCAGAAGTAACTTCTGACAAAAAATGAGGAATAAATTTGAAATTCGATAATGAAGGTTTGATCCATATTATAAAATTGTGCAAATGACTTGTTAGTATTTGTAAGCAATTAAAATAACTTTCAAAATTTTTAAAAAATTTATTTTAACCTTATGAAAAAAAATTTCGAGGGCGTGGCCCACGCCACGCCCCCTTTTTCTGAAATTTCGGGGTTCTGAGCCCGCAAAAATTTTAGGGAGCATACCAAAAAAATTTTCGGGGGACGTAGCTCGCGCCACGCACCTTCACCGGAAAAAAATTTTGTCGCCCCCCCCCCCCGAGTCGAAATCCTGGGTACGCCACTGGTACATACATACATACAAACAAACATTCAGCTTTATATATGAGATCCTAGAACCACACCATTCACCACAACTGTCTTGAATCTTCACGATGAAACGGGATTTTTTGGCTGCACATTTTCGAGTCTCTTCAACTTCTTTTTTCTTCAATTTCATTTCTTTGGTTTTTTAGCAAAGTAACCAAGCGCAACATCTGAAGATTTATACTGTCAAAAAAATTTTTTGGAAAATAATTTAAATTCACTTTGATTCAAATAGTAAGAAAAAACAAACTGAAAAGGACTTCTGGACTGGAGTTGAGATTCTCGTACAGCCAATTTATAACATTCTGCATTTTCAAAACCTTCGAAATATCATGTATTTGCACTTCGAATCTGATCAAAGCTTGGCCGACAACATTAAATTTTACAAAAGACGCTGGTGAAGCTGCGGAAAAAAGAAAAATCACATTTTCAGCTGCAGCTACTTACTTTTTTCTCGCACCGTAAACATTCGATGTCAAGTACTTCCAGGTGTGCTCGAGTTTCTCTCAGTCGCTATTGGCTTAGTCAGTATACGAGGAGAAGTCTCACAACGATATTTATGTATGGATAGAGATGGAAAATTATATGCTGCGGTTAGTGATGTTCTTTTTTTTTCAAAGATCCAATCTGCACTTTTTGTCTTAATATTCTGTTGAATTTCTAGAAAAACCGGTTGATTTAGAAGTGGGAACAAATATTAGGTTGGTCCGAAAGTTCGTTCGCACCATTTTCAAAAAATCATAACTTCTTTCCTTCACAAAGATTTTGCGCCTTTCAAATTTTATTAGAAAGCGTAAAGCATGTAGTTTCCAAAAGTTCCCTGGCGACTTTCCAGCATGTTCAGATTGCAGAGATAAAAATGAAAGAACGAGAACATCCGAAATTCGGAATTTTTGAGAAAAAATTCTAAAATTCTAGAAACTGCGCGATAAAATCCAGAAAAGCCATTATCCTAATTTTTCTTATATTTGATTACTAAATGAGTTAAGTTTGTGCTGATCGAGCTCTTCTTTCAAAAGTCATGATTTTTTGAAAAAAATGCCGAAAAATCGATTTCTTAGGAATCCTTAGGAAAATGATTTTTCGGCATTTTTTTTCAAAAATTTATAACTTTTAAAAGAAGGGCTCGATCAGCACAAACTTAACTCATTTAGTAATCAAATATAAGAAAAATTAGGATAATGGTTTTTCTGGATTTTATCGCGCAGTTTCTAGATTTTTAGAATTTTTTCTCAAAAATTCCGAATTTCGGATATTCTCGTTCTTTCATTTTTATCTCTGCAATCTGAACATGCTGAAAGGTCGTCAGGGGACCATTGGAAACTACATGCTTTACGCTTTCTAATAAAATTTGAACTGCGCAAAATCTTTGTGAAGGAAAGAAGTTATGATTTTTTGAAAATGGTGCGAACGAACTTTCGGACCAACCTAATACTTAAATCTTCGAAAATTCTAAAAATATTCAGCATCAATTTCTCTTTACGATGCTGCATTTGAGAGAAATGTAAGAGGTTGGAAGGCAAACGGGAAAAAGAAAGAGCAAAGGCAGGAGGGGGGGGGAATGAAGACTGTGATGAAGTAATACTTCCAAACTTCGCGTCCAAAACGGCGCTCCGCCCACATCACTTTTGGCGCCAAAACAGAGCGTTGCTATTGGTCAGCACGGGTTTCGACAAGAAATAGTAAGGGAACCAGAAATATGCGGTACTTCCTTTGCACGTACTGTCACCTTCTGCATCTCTGTTGGGAATGGAGGGAAATGAAGCAGACATGAACATATTAGTGGCCTTCTAGAATTTTTTGAGAGGGGGTGGGGACATGGGTCTGATGGGGTACGATAATAGCCACGCCTTCAAAAAAATTTTCTGAGATGTTTCCCAAACTTTTGGCGAGATACTTCCCCTCCCCCTCCTTCCAAAGAATTCTCACAAAGCCATTCTATTTACTTTATAAAATTCAAAATGTTATTAACCTGAAGTACCCATTTTTCTGGGCAATGATGGGGAGGGGGGGGGGGGGGAAAGGGGAGGGGAGGTGGAACCACAGGAGTTCTTGTAACATTTTTATGGCTTACCTTTTAAAACCCTTTCCAGAACTATGCAACCCATTCCCGAGAGAAATGCGGGGGGGGGGGGAAGGAAGAGGGGAGGCCGTCCCATTGACCTCTGTACGATAAATAGTCATTTTTTTTCGTGAATAAAATATCAAGTTCAGCAAATTTGGTATACAGGGAAATTTTGATAAATTGAGATGCCATATTCAAAAATTCCCCCATCGTCGGTCAAGTCTGCTTCTTGCGCATGCCCATAACCCAAGCTGAACGCGGAATTGGCCCAAGCTTCGATTTTTTGTCTCAGAAGCTCATTTGTATTGAGGCGCCGATTTTTTGATAAATAATGGGATCCAAGTGAATGTCCGACACAACAACTGACACTCGCGTTGGGTGGCCGTTTGCCACGCGGTGATTTTATTACGTCTCGTTCGTTGTCGGTTGTAACTTAAGGCCTACAAATGGACCATTAAATGAGGTTCGAGGAACCGCGCAATCGTGCACGAAGTTTAAGATAGCATTTCTTCACGATACGTGGATTGTGCGATTCATTTGATAGTGTGCAGGGTGTGACGGCTATAAAATCTATGATGGTCAGCACGGAATTAAACTATGGGTGCAAAATCTAAGGGGTAAACTGCAAATCTGCTCCTTTCCTTCCTTAGAATCCCCCCCCCCCCATCCTGACTCTCTCTTTTTAGGCAGTGACGGATATGAAGAGATGGGAGGGAATTTTTGAGTAAGACATATCTTTGTGGCAATAACTCCAATATAGCCTCTAGACATTTGAAGTAGGCAGTAATTATGTTTTTCCACTATAAAAAAATGGGTGCCTTCTTGCTTCCCTTTCCTTCTCAAAAAATTGCGTACGATCTCAATCCTTCATGAGTACAGAAAATTACAGAACCCCAGAATCTACACCTACCTAGAAACAGCAACCCAAAATTCTCATCTCATCATTTTCATTTCTCTCCTCCCCCTTCCTAGGTGTATGTCAAGAGGCGCGACTTTTATTGTCAAATGGGGTCAAAAAACCCGCGAAAGTGCAAATAATCGCAATTTTGTGAACATTTCAATCATGTTTTCACCCATCAAACTTAGCAAGTTGTAACTTCGGGTAGTTAGTACGCTTGAGAACTTTGACTGGAGTTTTTGAAGACTTGTACAACCCTAAATTGGGCTGTTCGGTGACTTTTGGAGAAATCGCGCTTCTTGACCGTCTCTCCACCCCCTCCCCTCCGATAGCAGCAGTTAAGAAACTATCACATACTTAATATCCAAATCCATACACGTTCAAGTTTTGCTACGAAACTGTAAGCCAACAGCTTTTTCTGCCCTTATCGAGAAGTTGAAACGGAAGTTTTTGTGGATTTTGCAAAAAAGGATTAATTTCTCTTTGAAAATTTTTCCTACATCTCCAAATGACTTTTGACGGACTCTTCTGGAAAGTTCAGAAATAACAACCTCATTCTCCCTTTTCATGACTAAGCAACCGGAATCTTTCTGAATTTTTTGAAAAATTTCAAAAAAATCGAAATTTCCAATTAAAAATTCCCCAAAAAACATCGTTTTCCTTTTTGATGAAAATTCAGCAACTTTACCAAGAGAATCTATTCCAGGCGCCGCAAAATTATACATCAGAATGTGTGTTTCTCGAAGAAATGATGGAGAACTATTATAATTTATATTCATCTTGTGCCTATGGCACGAAAAGGCGGCCATGGTACGTCGCATTGGTGAGTGGCATTTTTTTCACTTGAAAAAAAAGAGTTCTCGTTAAGCGATAAAATTTTTTCCAGCGTCGAACCGGCCGGAGTCGGAGGGGTAAAAATGCACGACGGCGGAGAAAAGCTAGCCATTTTCTAGTCATACATTACGATACGCCTCCACCGAGAACTTTAGGCCAGTTTGACTTAGGTAAGGTTTTAGATTATCAGATAGATATTTATTTGTTGATTTGTTCACAAATTTTTCCTATGAGAAACAATCAATTCAGTAGATTGAAATTTTCAAAATGTCCAAGAGAAGGCGTTGGAAAAATCAAGAAAATTTCTCATTTTGCCCAATAATACATATCATTTGGCTAGTCAGCTGGATAGGATATAATTCTGTGCCAAGTGAGAAAAATTTGGGGACAACATAGATAACAATTTTTTTAATTATTGAATTAAGTTCTTTTCCCCATACATACTTTGTCGCACCGCAGACCAAAACGCTCATTAAAAAAATTTTCTCTATTTTACCTCATATTGCAAAATTACCATCGGTTTGAGCTACTTTTTCTTAAGAATGAATGAAGCATTTCTCGAAAAATTCCGGACATGTAATAGTAAAAAGTAGTAAAAAAGTAAATGAATAAATAAAGTAAACAAAGCAAAAAATAAATAGAAATAGAAATGAAGTAAATAAGGTAGGTAAATACAAAAAAATAAATAGAAAAAAGTAAATACAAAACAAGTAAAGTAAATAAAAAAAATAGTAAAGAGTAAATATTAAAGTAAACAGTAATAGTAGTTATAGGACTTCCGTACGCACACTTTTCTCTCCCAGTCCTCCAGTTATCAAAACCGCGCGTTTTTCTATAATTACCCCGGTTCCGATTTCAAAACGTTTTCCTTTTTTACTGTTTCGCGCTCGCGGCCATCTGCTTCCCATAAATTCAAGAAAAAGAGTGAATTTTTGAAGACTCGAAGGAAACAAAGAATTCGTTTACGTGAAGGTTCAAGGACTATCTCGTGCCGGGTAGTATATGCTTATTAACACCTGTACTCAACACAGACACACTACACCTGTGCCTGTCAGCAAAACTGAAAATTTTCATAACTTTGCACACGTTCACTGCTACACAACGAGCATCGTGTCGACATGGTCGTCAATCACTTGAAGAGGATATTTTTCTTCTTGGCGCCAGCTGCTCCCATTCGATTCATCCCTTTGCCTCTTAATCGTGCAACTTGCTCAGCACAGACATTCAGTAAAGTAAGCAAAGCGGGCCATTTCGGCAAAGCAAAGGGGAGCCGGTTGTTTACGATAAATGGGTCAGATAAATTTGGTGAATGACCATGACATAATGTTATCAAAACATCGATATATCCAGCCTAATGAGACAAACAAATCGATTACACAAAAATTTATTCTCTTCCGTATTTCACCTGCTTATCCAGCTAAGCGTCAAGAAAATGACTATGTTTGAGTAAGAGAGAAAAAAGATTGATTTCACAAACTTTGAAAACTTTTCTCCAGAACTCTTTCATGGAGTCGTTAGCCTATAAGCCACGCCTCCTTCTATCTGTAGCTCACCCTTTCTTCTGTAAAAAATCAAGGGCAACAAATTAGATATGCGGGAAATCCGCGATTTTAGGGCTAAGGTACGAAAATCACCATTCCATATTCGAAAAAAACCTGTTCTTCTGATTGGCGAAGGAAAATTTTCTTTTTTCAGACGCTTTCTATTGTCTAGCGCCATGCATCTCCGTTAGCATCAAAAAATAACACCTCATTTAATTTCTAATGATGTTGGCTGATTTAGGGAAGGGAAAATTTGATGTTGGCAATATTAGAAAATACAAACCACGTAATCCTGCCCCGTTTTGCTTACCGCCCCACCCTTTCTTTCTTATTTCAGAAATCGCTATCACAAAAGAGTTCTGAATAAAAAGACTGTTGTTTCTGAAACATGACAAAAAAGTTGCATCCCCTCTTAAAGAAAATTCCGTTCTAAATGTCATGGTCGGCGCGGCTCGGGTCCTCGCGAGCGCCTCGCTTTGGCCACTCGACGCGTTTGCGAACGTTCCCCACGCTTGAGGCGCAGGAAATACGTAACTTTGGGCATCAGTAGCTGACAGTTTGGGAAAATGCCCCGCTACTACTGCATACGCTGAGGGCGAACGCCCAGAAACCCAAGCGAGACGGTTCGCGAGGTCGAGCCGCGCAGACCATGGCTCAGATTGGAATCTCTTGTTAGTCAGATTTAAGAAAAGACTATGGATTGTCAAGAGATGAAATGTTCTTTCCCTCCATAAAAAACATACCATGGCCATCCCTCGTTTGTCTATCGCCGCGCCCTTCATTCTGAAGCATTTCAAAAACAGCCAAGTCAGCCATAATCAAAAATTTTACAATAGTAAACATAAAAATATTAGGTTATCCCGAAATTTGTCGGTTTTTTCAAACGACTATATAACCGCGCACAATAAAGACCTAGAAGAGTTTCAACAGGCATTCGATGCAGCTTTTCCTTCTCTTTCTTATGGATACATTCACGAACCAGAATCTTGTATGCTTTTTTGATGATTGCCAAAACTCTCCACCCGTCAATTTTATCTGCTATAGTTCGGCTAATTTTCAAAAACTTCATTCCAAAATTTCGGAAAAAGTTGAGCGTGGATAAGATAGAGCAATTCTTGGGTACAAGGAAGTATTTTTAATTCTTCCTAATCTGCTGTTTTTAGCTTCAAAAAATTATTTCTTCGAAGATCTCATTTTTGGCAAAGTCATGAAAACGTCACTGCAGCAAGTACACGAAAGCTTTTGGAGTTTCCGCAAATTAAAACAGGATTCTCACCAAACATTATTTATGCAACTTGATTAAGTTTGATTTGCTTTAAAAAACAGCTTTTTGAAACTTTCGGTACCTTTACGTGGTAAACGTAATCGAAAAGCCGCAGTTTTTATTGAATAAATGATTATAACGGACTTGGTAAACGTGGTCCAGGTAGTCTAAAATGGTCACAATGTAGCCAAAGGTTTGCTCTACGTAACAGCTTCCATCGCGCTTTGGAAACACCAGGATAAAATTTTTTAAAATTCAGGAAATGGCGTTTTTGATGAGCCGCTCAAAACCATGGCGATAACATCGCAAAGACAGGAGAGATCAGAGAGCAAATATAGCTGTTAGAAAGAGGATAAAAATCTAAACGGAATGGTACCTAGGTCGTTCATGGATTGGTGTTCGGGAGTTTTAGTGTGCGATGAAAAAAACGGACAAAAATTCGGGACAACCTGATAGTTAAATGAAAAGACATATTTCAGAAATAAATTGAGGTTTTGTAGTTTCCTCATTGCTAGTTTCGCGGAGTGATTGGTTACTTTTTGAGTGGCCTGCTCATTAACTCCAGTTAGTCTTAGTGAACCATTTGTTACTTCGCCTTCTAAAGAAGATGATTAGAATCACTATCCTCTTCACGCACGAGAAAGTAATAACATCAGTAGATCTGAAGACTAATATTGAGTTTTACTCGAATTTTCTATTTCATATACCTGCGCTTTTCTTTTCCCGGAATCTATCATCTCTTGAGAGGTAAGCCTTTCCATGCCTCCATATTGATATTAGGAAGATAGGCTACCAATGTAGCTGAAAACGTCTAAATAAAGCGTTTGATACAAATAATTTGACTACTGAAAAAAATTGGAATTCTAGATAAATTCCCAGAATCACTCAAACACTTGCGTGCTCCTTTCTTAAACTTACAGGGCTTTTCAACCTGAGAGTCGCAAGTTTCGCTTGCGCGGCTCCTCCAACGCGGCCGCCTCGCTCAGGCCGCGCGCGGCGTTTGCTGCGTATCGCCCGGATTTCGCCAAGCTTCAGTCGACGCGCAGCCAGCGCCACGAACGCTGCGCGGACCTAATAAGCGTGGCGTCCTAGCGGGGCGGGTAGGACACTCAGGTTGTAAAGCCCTGTACATTAGTAGATCGCGATTAAAAAGGAATCTGTGGGCATCTTCGTTGCCAAACTTCTCGATAGACTTTCTTAGTATAACCTAAAAAGTATAAAATTGTCTCAAATACTTTTTTTATATAAAACATTTCTAATATTATACACAGCCAACCTTTCGTTATCGGAGACTTCTAAAGTCCGTTCTTTTTGAATTTTACGTCGGCGATGTGTTGTATTCCGTAAGGTTGTTTCGGCCTTAGATAAAGAATTGCAAAATTCGTAATTGATTTTTACCTGCAACACACACTCTAATTATCCGGAATCTATAATAGGTGACTATTACTACCCGAATGCCAAGCACAGCATTCGAAACACCTGCACCCGTAGGCCAACCAAACGGGGGATTTCTGATCATCGAACATAAATAAACAAGTACCTTTGTTATAGATATACATCACATAGTCTAGTATACTGGCCAGTTCTTATAACAGCTTGTCAAAAGTCTTCCATCTCGGACTCTCTCAATCGGTAATTCTAATTCACTCTAAAAGGACCTTTTTCATGAAATTATGAAAAGGACTTTTCTTTCTTCCACTTCCGAGCTCATTTTTCGGAACGAAACGGAAATTAGGTAACTGTCAATATTCTCTATTTCTCAGAGCAATCCTCAAAACAGTGACAGAAATATACCGGTCATGTGAACCCGTAGTAGTCTATATTTCCAGGTCGCTTGCTCGCTCCATCGCTGAAGCATCAACCACCGAAAGACCAGTTGTTTCTAAAACGACAAGAACTAGCCAAGGAGATGCAGACGCGGATAGAACGAATACAAGAGCGAGTGGGTCGGCGGCCGACTCCGGCAACTATACGTAAAATACGCAAGCGGAAGCGACGACGGCAACAACGGTTAGAGCGTGAACAACGCTTGCGGCGTCAACGTCAACAAGAATTGGAAAGGCTCCGTGAGGAGGAATTACTTAGGAAGCGCAGGCCGAAGTGAGTTAGGCACACTGAGCTTACAAGGGAAGGATACTCGGTCGAAGTGGCCATTTGGAATGAGCTGTATATTAGGAAACCGTCCTCCGTAAGGCAAACTCAAAACTACTTTCGCTAGGTGCCGAGCGGTTTTGTGGGGGGAGTTACAAGGCCATTTTCCTCCGGCGCAGCCAGCGCACCAGTGATGAGCGAGGCGCTAGAATGACGCAGCAGTGTGGCAGTGGCGCAGTGGCAACGCAGTGGACTACGAAGCAGATGGTCGAGGGTTCGAGTCCTGTTGCTGCTACATTGTTTTGCAGTTCTGTAAAAAGTCCATTGGGTGACAGCAGACGAGAAGTACTATCTCTAGGCAGTCGAAACAAGCTAGTTACTGCAAAAAAGCCACTATTTCTGCAGTAAGCTATAATCTTCTAAAATATGTAAATCTGTGGAGGTTATGATGTCACAACAAGGGATTCAAGTGATATACTAACATGTATGGAATACAACCACAAAATGCTCAAAGTAGAAGAGCTTCTCGCAGCGCGCACATCGGATAAAATAAAACGATGACAATCAGCAGCTTCACAATTGCCTATCAAAGTCGGTGAAAAACAGTACTGAATAGGAGACTCGAATTCGCCGGGGTGGTTGTCAATGTATCCGGCTGCATCCATGGGTATGAAAGCAAATCTTTGAATCGCGGCGAGCAAATTGTGTGTAAATGAGCGATGAGATCTTAAGGATGGAATCCTTATGATGCAAGGTAAAGTTCAGATCAAGAACCAATAAATGGGATGTGAATCGATTGCAATTTTGCAAGTGCGCGCGTTGCGAAAAGCTCTTCTGCTTTGAGCATTTTGTGGTTGTATTCCATACATGCTAATATATCATTTGAACCCATTGTTGTGACATCATAATCTCCACAGATTTACATATTGTAGAAGATTATGGCTTATTGTAGAAATAGTGAGTTTTTTGCAGTAAATAGCTTGTTTGAACTGTCTAGATATAGTATTTCTCGTTTGCTGTCACCCAATAGACTTTTTGCAGAACTGCAAAACAATGTAGCAGCAACAGGACTCGAACCCTCGACCATCTGCTTCGTAGTCCGTTGCGTTGCCACTGCGCCACTGCCACACTGCTGCACAATTCTAGCGCCTCGCTCATCACTGGGTGCGCTGGCTGCGCCGGAGGAAAACGGCCTTGTAACTCCCCCCACAAAACCGCTCGGCACCTAGCGAAAGTAGTTTTGAGTTTGCCTTACGGAGGACGGTTTCCTAATATACAGCTCATTCCAAACGGCCACTTCGACCGAGTATCCTTCCCTTGTTAGTAGATTTGACGATCGATGAATGTATAGGGCATTTGAAAAATCGTGACGATGGCGCGACCGCGCGCGACACGCACACCTACAGAAATCGCATTTTCTTGGTTTTCGTCTTTAGTCGTCTGGTTTTTTTTTTGCATACGTATGGCAATATTTAGACACTGAAAGTGACTGAGCTGAACGTCGAGGTGATGCCTTCTTGTATGAGCGTTTTATGCTCCTGTGGGCGCAAAGTCCGCACAGAATCCACCGTCACGATTTTATAAATAAACTATAGTGTCTCTGCGGTACCGACAACATTTGCGGATGAAAAATGGAGATGAAGCGCGAGGCTTTTGCAGCCTAGGCCACATCTTGTGCGATGTTGTCAGCAGCGTGTGAGATGAAGGCTACTGCCGGACGAAAGCGCAAGAGCAGTTTGTTGAGCGAGAGTGAACGCGGCGCGAGCATATCCTCACCGTTGTGAAATCCTGGAGCTGCGCTCAGTGACTAATAAAACCGCGCTCGCGCAGCCTGGTTTTGCGCTTTTGTTCGGGATAGGCTAAATATTAGCCCGTACCTTACTATTTTGTCTTCGAATCGTTGACCGCACGCACATCACTGCAGAGCACGCGCCGCGAGGTGAAACGTTTGCCTTAGTATAGATCGCAATCGTACAGGTCGTGCAACGTTTTGACGCGTGGCCCGCAACGGTTGAGCAGTCCGTGCGGTTAACGACTTGATGGTACCAATCTATTCGAGAACTTGGCACTTCTCTACGCGAAGAGGAGCGTGCGTGTGCGCGCACGTACAAGTGCCACTCATTGGCGACTGTAGTATAGCTGCTAATTCAATTCATAATTTCCAGATTGTCCGGCGCTGGTCTACTATGGTCTCGACAGTACTAATCTTTCACATTGTTCATGCCAAACGTCTCGAACATTGCCATTGATTTATGTACAGTTTTCTTTGTTGACCGTCATCACTCCCCCCGTTTATACAGGGACTATCCTCTCTCACAAGCTCCGCCCAATTCAATGATCTCTTCACGCTGGTCGTACGCTCCAAAAAAGCATCTCGTCTGCCCCAAGCTATTAATGTAATTCTAATAACTTACCATTGATGATAAATCATAGATCTAAACGCGGTAATGTGGGAGTATCCGGACCAGATGGGTTTACCTTCCAGATTGAACAGAGTAATATATTTTTATCGCACTTGATGCCGGTGTATAGTTGCATTATTAAAGGCCGCGCATACATCACGCGATTTCATCGCCTCGCGATCTTCCCAACGAGACAACTGTTACCCGTTCATCATATGCCGATCATCTTGCATCTCGTTGTGATAGTTTTCTGACACGATTCGCCTCTAACTATCACAATCCTCATGCAAGATTATCGGAATGCAATGGACTCGTAACAGTTTTGTTGGGAGAATCGCGAGGCGACGAAATCACGTGATGTATGCCCGGCCTATCATTGACGCAGACATTGCACAGTGCAAGCGCGGCACGGCTTCAACGCCTCGAGCATGTACGAAGAGGGTACGAAACACTCTGCCGTCAAAGAATGGATATTAGCTGTAGCAAAATACCGTAGATGTCAAATAAGTGCTAGGTTTATAGTAGCCTGGAGATTTTGCACTTCTTACATAAATCCCTTGCGACACCATCAGCATTCGCGCAATCTTTGACCATAGGGCGCAAAACTCGAAAATGAGGAACGAATACCTCAATGCGCGGCCTCCGCGGACCACCGGTCTTTCGATGCTGGCAGTCAACAGTCCGTGAAGGTGGCACCTAATTGAGGTATGAGCGGCTCCACAACTTTGGCGAGGCGGAGCTGCGCTAGCGTGCCTTGCGTTGCGGTTGCCCTGTGCTGAGGATACCTGATCCATCGATCTTTGGTGAAGATCACGGTCCCGCCTCGCCAGAGTTGGGAAGTCGACAATAATCGTTCCTCTACCCAACCAAGTACGCTCTATAGCCACAACACACGCAAAGATGTTGTTGGCACGCAAAGGCTTATACGAACCTTCGTCTACAACCTAACCCAACAATTACTTCCTTTTTGCAGTTGTCTTTGCGATAAATCCATAGGTAATGCTCGGTCCAAAGGCTAGTCCCAGACGAAGTCTGCTTTCATGTAGGCGGAGCGTGCGCGGGCGTACGCGCTTTGAGGCTGAAGGATTTTCAAACGCGGCGCCCTCACCGGCTGCATAAGTGGACCGACTGCCTACATCAGGGGATCACCCTTTATCTCCTCCAAGCTTTCGAAGAAAAAAGAACTCGTAGCGTCGACCCGCATTGCTGATCCGCGCGAGCGTAAGTCCAGCCAATTTATTTCAGCATAACGACGCAGACAATGCATGTGTTGCGTTCGCCAAGGCGGCGCGTCTTCCGATGGTTCGCGCTGCTAAAGTAATGGCAAATCATGCATAGTTTGCGCTGAGGCATCCATTTATAGAATGGCCAACCAGATCCGGGTAACTCCCATGCATGTCTATATCCTACCCCTTTCTGCCCCCCCCCCCCACCCCTTCCCACTCTCCCTCCCTGCTGCGACCAAATTTTCAGCACAATGCCCTTTTTCTTGGCCAAATCATCGACATTCATCGTGTTTGCTACGTGTTCATTGCAGTTTTAGCTATGCGCCTTTCTTTGCAGTTGGTTGTCTCGACAAATTCGCTCCCCCGTTGAGTATCTCTTGATTTCATTTTGCTAGTTTACCTTGCTGGAGTGTGCATTGTTACGTGACTTTAATAGTATGGCTATTAATGTTGAAAATATAAGACGGATCATTACGAGTACAAGTATTAGGTAAGCATAAGCATGTGTAATAGGAAGTCTCAACGCGAGTATCATAATTTGAAGAAAATTTGCTGTCGATTTTTCAGAAATATGATGCTCGTTATTAGACACCAAATGTATATGCATTGATTGATGTTCGAGTTTGATATATGTCCCGGTGAAGGTTGCTTACTATACCCCCTTATATGACCGATTCTTGTACATTCTTACCCGGAGACTTTCAAACGACCTTTCTTTAACCTTCACAAGCACGATTCGAAAAGTGATTGTTGTGTTTCGACATCATGGAATAAAATGATTTGAAAAATTGTACTTTATTATACTGGTTTTTGTACAATAGACGTAGCCCATCATATCAAAAAACATGGTAATGAAAAACGGCACGTGAAACATTCGACCCCACTGCCTGCAAAGGCTTTGTAGGCATAACTATATCAACAGGGTAACAAGTAGGCATCTCAACAGAAACAAAAGATAATATTGTAAAAGAAATAACATCTCTAATCTCTAACGAAAGAATCGAACTTGACAGATATTTACATTGGTTTCGTATCACAACAAGATGCGAAAGAATCTCTGGCAGATGAACTCAATTATCACCCATTCGTCCGCGAGATTTGAACAATTTGTTCGACTTCAAACCCACTCGCAAATCGAAACGTCTTCTATAGCGCTCCATAAATTTGATATCTTTGGCAGTCTGCTTGGCGACAACTCCTGAAAAAGACCAAATAACAAGCTGAGAGAGATTTCATAAAGCTAACATTACCAGTCGTGCCAGTCCAAGCTAATGCTGGATAAAGCCCGCGAGCTTTCTCTAGGGCAGCTTTTCCTACGTCTGGCTTGGTTCCATCAGTTGGACGAAGATATTGCCGATAGTAAAGCATTAGCGAGCGATGTCCAATCTTTGCGCCTACAACCTCCATTTAATATTCTTAGAATAAAGTCGAGATAGATACCTGATGGCAATGTCAATGTCCAGCCGTCATCGTAGAAAGCATCAGAAGAGGTTTCATCATTATCGTTTTCGTACATTGGACTGAAATAGTGAAAAATGGTTTGGAAACAGATACAACTCCATTCTGATAGAAAACAGTGTCGTAAAAAAGTGAAAATCAATCTAAAGCGCAATATACAACAAAAAAATGTTTATAATTACATCTAAATATATAACAATATGAAGTACCTGTAGTCGTAATACTCAGCAAACTCCAGCATCCCTTCCGGATCGCGATTTACTTTACAATGTTGCTTGTCGCGCATGTGTGTTTGACAAGCAGCCGTAGTGGCGAACCTACTTCTCACATCCGGACAATAAATACAACATCTCCCTGCTCCTACTTTGAGCCCTAAAAAATCAACATTGCATAGTCTATCCAAGTGTTGAAAACATTCTTACAACTCACCTAAGTACTTGAGCATTCCGTCTTCGTCGACAAGATACTTCTTATCTGGTAAAACGAAACCGTGATGGAAGCGCATATGCTCAAGGGCTTCTTCTTTCGATGCTTTGGTTTGAGCACAGAATAAACATGACGTGATAGGAAGGGCCTAAAATTGCGCGTAAAACAACTGGAAACTGCTAAATCACGTTCATCCAAAAAAAAAGAAAGGTAAGTTTTTCGAAACTCCGTACTAACCTCGCTTTCGTCAAAATCGAGGTCTTCGTCGTCCTCTCCATTATCCGTCACCCATCCAGAACTGCTATCATCGTCTTCTTCATCTTCTACGGCATCTATGTCTACATCGTTCTCTTCCTTCGTAGATGATGTACGTTGCTCGGTCGTCTTCTGAAAAAGAAATGTAAATTGCGGCATCTGGTAATATTAACTTAAGCACACCTTTCTTGGTTGTCGTGGTCCTTTCGGCTCCCTCTCTTCCATCTCTTTATGCTTCTTGCTGGCAATATGATCTGCCAGAGCATTTTTCGACTTCAACTTCTTTCGGCACACCGAACAATATAGCAACGACTCGTCTTCTTGCTCTTTCTTCTGAGCCTAGATAAAATGCCATAAAATGTGCAAGGTGACAAACTGAATGGACAAAAACTGTCCTAGTAAGACCAAAAACCTAAAAATTCTTCACCTCTCGCTCATTTCTGAACGCAATAACTTTTTCGCGAAATTGCTCATCAGTCACTGGAGGAAGTTCAGCAACCTAAATACACAAAAATAGCATAAACTTCTTGGTTCGCTATGGCGGTATATGTTTCAACATCCACAATTTTTTCTTGCAAACAAAGAAGACCATTTTTGGGTTCCTTCATACTACGCCGCGTACGCCGCGTACGCCACGTACGCCGCGTACGCCACGTGCGCCACGTACGCCGCGCACGCAGCGTACGCCGCTGCAGCGCAATGGAAATGTGGAAATATGGAGAAGAGAAATCCTTTCAATCCAGTGATGTGTTTGTAAGGAGATGTTAACAGCGCAAATATACAACCAGATACAACGTACAACCATACAACCATATACTACCAATATACAACCAGATGACGCAATGTGCAGTCAGTTACGATACAAAATATGGAACTCAAGAGTAGAGGGAGCACAACAACCTAAGTCATTCCATCAAATTGATGTAGACAAAGGATAGTCAGGATAAACAAGGCAAAAGAGAAGAAGAAATGCATAATGTGAAGGGACACTATTGAGAGACACGAATATAGAGAGCAAGCAGCAAATAGCAGCAAGGCGCAAATTTGTGCAGCAAATATAGAGACACATAAAAAAAGTGGAGCTTTGCTGCCGTGAGCATATTTCCATTGCGCTGCAGCGGCGTACGCGGCGTACGCTGCGTGCGCGGCGTACGTGGCGTACGCGGCGTAGTATGAAGGAACCCTTTCCATCGCCAAATATGTCTATAAACTTCTTCTTAGAGAAAAATCGAGAGTATAGCGTTCAAAGGTTGGTTACACCCAAAAAAAGATTTAGCTCTTATAAAAAATCACCTGTCTTTTCAAATTGTATCTGTGCCAATCTGTTCTGTAGTGCTCCCTTTGAAGTTCTGGCGTTTTGAACACCAGATGGCAGGCAACGCAGGTAAATCCTGTGGTGGGATCCAGAGTAGACATATTCTGGCAACGATTTACATAATTGTATAAAAACGATATAGTACGTCAAGACTAGGTTAATGCCAGAATAGAAATGCAACGGAAATAAACCCGATGCACTACAGCTTAGAACATAACCCTTCATAAAATTTTCATTTAGACTTCATAACAACTGCACTGAATTTAACAACGGTCAAGGAAAAGAGCAACCTTCAAACGAAACGACCATAAATATAGATGTAACAGGACCAACAGAACAATGAAACCATAACAAGCACAATAACATAAAAATATGAGAAACTTCTTCCAATCACGCCTTGAGCTTTTGCCGTACTTCTGTTTCATCTTCATATTCAATTTCGACATGAGGCCGTCGTCTCTTTGGAGCCTAAATAGAGAAAGTTGAGCAAATAACAAAGCCGAGAAATGATAACAAAATCAACAAAAAGCACGATTTCATGATCACGGGAATATATTCTATTGACACACATAAGAAAAAGCGATGGAATTTCACCCAGAAAATATGCAAACGAAGAAATTTGCAAAGTTACGAGATAAAGGCTATGAGAAACATGCAAGTATTGGTAACCTACCTTTCCAGGTTTCGGCTCCTTCTTGCTCTTCTTCTTTTTCGACTTCTTCACTGGTGGCTCCCCAACCTCTTCACCTTCGCTCATATCTTCGTCCTCTGCATATTCTTCCTCACCACCCTAAAAGATATAGGCAGTTCTATGGCATGTGAAAGAGAATAACACAAAAGACGGACCTCTTGTGGTCGTTGCCAATCGTCGTCTTCACTGTCAGTGTCAGGCGGAGTCCAGTGTCCTCCTGCTGTATCTTCAATATCTTCCATATCTTCATCATCTGATGACTCCAAATCTGCTACGTAAGTGACTCGGCCAACATCCTGAAAGTATTAAAGTATAATTAAGTGAATGCAAAAGCCAGAAGGATAGGGAAGTGTCAACGAGAAATGTCAGAAATCGCAGTGACGTTTTGACATGAAATAGGTATCATTTGAAGAAGCTTGAAATGCTGATTCCAGAACAGCCTTTTCAGCTGCAGGACTAACCTGCTACGTGAGTTATTAAATTCAATTTGCGGGAAATTTACTACGCTGAGAATAGCCAAAAGTTGGAACAAACATTTTTGGGCTCAAACATAGATGAAACAGTCTATCAATGCTTGAGATAACTTTACGCCTTCCTCAACGTCATGCTGTGGCGCTCAAACAAGCCTTTGAAAGGTTTCTGCGTTCACTGAGTACTTCAAACAATGTGAAATGTGGTGATTAAAATGCCCCATAACTCGCACTCGGATCAGTTCTGCAGCTAAGACAGGTTGTCTTGGAATCAGCATTTCAGGCTTCTCCAGATGATACCTATCCCATATCAAAAGGCGGTTGCAACTTTTGACACTTCCCTTGCCAGAGTGAAATACCGAAGAGCATACCTCATCATCCTCCACTTCCACTTCCTGTTCTTGCTCCAGAGTTGTCTCATTTTCGTCTAACATTTGTTCAAATGCTTCTTGTCGGAAGTTATAAATATCCCCATACGTTCCTTGCCTATAAGGAATATAGTATACACTCAAACATAAACTTCCAAATCACACGAACTTACCGTAATCGCGAAAGAAGCTCATTCTCGATGGCTTTGTCAAGCTTTGCCGCAACCAGTGCTTTCTCTTCTCGACGCTTCTCACGCCGCTCAACTTTTCGTGCAATAGGTATGATCTTCTTTTGTCTGAAATAGCCCGGTAGAGTAGAGACATGTATTGCCACAAGAACAACTTACGTTCCCTTCAGAGCCATGCGCCTCATTCGTATCAAGTATTGATGGATTCGAATCAACCTAGCCTTACATTTATGCCGTACATATTCACTCCAGTGAAGCAAATTGTCACTTATTTGTTCCAAGGCCTAAAAAAGATGTGCACATAATCGAAATCAACAGCAAGTGCTTCCAATAGTTCGCAGACAGACTGGATGCAAGAGAATGTCAACTATCGACAAACATACCTTGTTCATATCCTTTGATAATTTGATTTTTTCCCACAACCTTCGAGGATAATGACTCCTTTCAACTACTTTCATATATAGGTAGCATACTCCTAAAAACAGCAGAATAAATCTTGGTGGAAACCAAAACTAGACGGTACGAAGGCCGGTCATTTTGCTTGATTTTTGAACAGTGACCTACGAGATTTGATTTAAACTGAGCAATCAGTCATCACTTTTCGTCAAGCAGACAAAGATGAATTGGTCCATTAAGCAAATGGATGATAGCGTAAGTGATTGAAATTATAAAAAGTATCGAAAACTTGTTGAATCGTGGAGTTTTGCAATTTCGCAACACGCTGGCTGTGTGCCAAGCACGCGGGACGGAGCTTCTGTGAGGCGCGTGCTTGGCACTGTTTTGACCATTCCGGTCTTTCGTCAGCTCAGGAGAGGCAATGTTTTTGCTCTGTCTCCAATTAAGAAGAAAAGAGGAGTTATCGCTCGTATAGGAACTAGGATACGCTGATTCTTGGAGTGTACAAGTTGGGTAGGCATGAAGTCGTTCTCATACCTCTTGAGGTTTGTTTGTATTGAAGGAATAGCGGTCACCTTTGGTTTGTATAGAACGATCATGTCGGAATGACAATACTTACCAAAATAGGATGCAAGTATTTGTGACGAATATCCTTGAACAATTGCTTCTTATGCATAGACTTCCGACGTGTCTTATGTGATTTCTGGCTCAATTAGAGATGTCACCTCAAGCAGGAAGCAGTTTCTCGCCTCGATTAGCGCTTTCGATCAGTGCTTCATAGCGATTCAATATGGGACGTTGCAGACTTACAGCTTTTCCCAATGAAGACTTCCTAGATGGAAGTATGCTTGCTTCACTTCATAGTTGTTGTTGAGTCAACTTCATAGATGGACTTATTTGGCGGAATATCTGTGTCTGTCTAGTCAGACGTACATACACCGTCTTGCTCTGCACAAGGATGCTAGCTGATATGTCGACCCAATCACGGGTAGCGGCTATGCTTGGATAAGATAATCTCAACGCCGTATGTCGAGATGTTCCTCGGATCCATTCGGAGAATTCGATTGTGCGCTCATATGAGTTCTGCGACTCGTCGTTTGAAATGTAAGTTGGACTCAGGCTTCTTGAAGCCTATGGTAGTTAGTGGATCCTCTGCCGAGGTTAATAGTCAACCAGAGCCATTTGTAGAAATTGGGAGTCAACTGTGAACTTGGGAAATAAGTCAGTTTCCGTTTCTTGAAGCTGAAGTGTCCCTGGATTCCGATCCAGGAGTTGGCGAGTGAGTTGAGGCTTCATGGGTTTACAAGAGTCCAGCCGGACGATGGCAAGTTGTTACCGGTTTTCAAGCAGGTCAAGGATCTTGTTCCAGAAGGGGATGGTATCGATACGACCTTACACGTTGACTTCGATGCCGGCTTTGCGAAGCCTAGTTGTTTCCGGATCCCGATCCAGAAATGAGGGTTGATTTGTTGTTTCTTATGTAACTGCGAATCTAACTTTGACGGATCAAGTCACATGCTGGCTTGAAAGTCCGGATCCGGTTTTGATTGGGCTCAGTTGTGGTCCGATACGTGTTAGAAATGTAACCGTGATAAAGAGAGCTAATGCCGGTTTCCCAAAACCAAAGGTCCTGGATCTCGATCCAGAAGAGAGAGAGAGTTGATGCCGGCTTCCTGAAGCCGAGGTAGTCCGATCCCGATCCAGAGAGGAGAGTTGATGTCGGCTTCCTGAAGCCGAGGTAGTCCTGGACCCCGATCCAGAGAGGAGAGTTGATGCCGGCTTCCTGAAGCCGAGGTAGTCCTGGATCCCGATCCAGAGAGGAGAGTTGATGCCGGCTTCCTGAAGCCGAGGTAGTCCTGGACCCCGATCCAGAGAGGAGAGTTGATGCCGGCTTTCTGAAGCCGAGGTAATCCTGGATCCCAATCCAGAGAAGGGAGTTGCTGGGCTTGCTGAAGCCAAGGTAGTCCTGGATCCCAATCCAGAGAAGGGAGTTGTTGGGCTTGCTGAAGCCAAAGTGGTCCTGGAGTATATTCGGAGGAGAGAGTCAATGTCGCTTCCTGAAGCCGAGGTGGTCCTGGGTCACGATCCAGAGAAAAGAGTTGATATTGGCTTAAGGAAGGTGGTCTTGGATCCCGATTCAAAGGAAAAGTTGATACCGGCTTTCGAAGCCTAATGGTCCTGGATCTCGATCCAGAGGAGAGATTTGATGCTTCGTGAAGGCGAGGTGGTGATCCCTATCCCGATGAAATAGGTGATTTTGGCTCACTAAAAGGTGGCCCTAGATCCCGATCCAGGTGAGAGAGTTGAGCTTATTGTAGCCGAGGTGGTCCTAGATCTTAATCCTGAGGAGGTATCCGAGTGATAGTCTACTTTTTACGCGTTGCTAAGTCGCAATCTTTCCAGCTGGAGAGGAGCTCGCCTTTTTGAGCTTGCAGTATATTCCTGTTGATAATAGGTTGTAGGCAGAGGTGGCTGATATCAGAGAGAGAGAGAGAGAGCTGGAGCCGGCTTTTTGAAGCTGAGGTGTACGTATTTCTTACCAAAAGTTGATAGTGGACGTAGTTCCTGGTATTGCCACGTTGATAGTTCACTGCACGCTCGTGTGGTAGTCTCGGTAACCAACTAGAGTAATGGAATGAGGTCGAGGTCGTCCATTTGAAAGTGAGGTGTTCTTGGGCTTCGCTCGGGTTTTTTGAACTTCTACTCTGCGGAAGGCAGCAGAAACTGGCCAATTTGATGAGAGAAGAGTGACGCATATGTTAAGGCTTTCTTCTAGAAGTGCTGCCCAGCTGCTGAAGCGGACGATCTTGCTCAAGATCAGAGAAGCGACGCGGGGTCAGAGTAATCATGGCGGCTTCTCGCCGAAATGTAATTGGTCGCGAGGACCTAGGAAGTAGCCGAGAATTGCGCCGCACTTCTGGCTAGAACCGTAAGTGCCAATTCCATATACGAGGATATATATATTCACATATCTCCCTTCAACAGCGGCGAATAAGTCAAAGTGAAGTGGAGTATAGATGAACAAAGCTTCGAGCGCGGGGCACTCAGCCTTTATAGCTAAGGGTTCTAATGACCTCAGTCTCTCACGATTTAAGGTAGCAGAAGAAATTACAGAATAGGCGTTTTCTTGTCAGCATTCCTAAGGGCAGCATCTACGAGCCACGGTGAAGTCTTCGGATCAAGTGGCCAACTGGTCGTATTTATGTGTCATCCTTTACGCTTCGCTTAACGGTAGAAGTAGGTAACTCATACGCAGGTGAATCTCTGTGAAGGCAGTGCAAACTCTTCGTTGGGTTCCACACAGTCGTTGTCGGTCGGAACTGCTTGAATCTATTTCATTACCACATGGTTGCGGTTTGTTCGAGCTTAGTCCCATTGCAACTACTCATTGCTCTTTGTCTGAAGCATATAGCAGTCTATGACTACATTATTGGTAACAAGCTGGCAGCGCTCTTTCAGTTTGTCAAGGACAATTTCGTATATGAGAATGTGATCCCGTTCACATGTATTGCTGTCTGATGGTCCAACGGGAAGTCATTTACCGAGTCCTAATCAACGAAATGTCCAGAAATTGCCATGTGTTCACCATATTGTGGGGGTTCCGATACGGATCCCATTATGTGGCTGGATATTCAGTGGATACTAGAGGTTCCATATATATGCTATTAAGGTCGGAGGCGGCGAATTCAAACACTATTCGAAGAAAGCAAAGCTTAGCGAGGGTAGACGCACAATAAATGCGTACTCAGACGAAAGCAATGTTGTAGTCGCTTTCATTTTCAGTGCTTCAGACGTTGTCAGGGTCATGGCGCTGCGGCTCAACATGTTCAAGCTGGAAAGAATTACCCCAGTCCGATGGGGATAACTATAGCCTTTACAGCCTCACGTTTCCATGAGGACGTATCGCCCATCATAATGGTGGATTTCAGAGGATTGTTCTGCTGGAATGTTAGGCAAACATTAGGGTTCAATGGGTTGCATGCTCACTCAGTGATTTCTACTATGCATGCTCACTCAGTGATATGTATTAAGCCTTTCGGTTCGGACCTCTGATTTTGTTCATCTGCAGTGCTTCAGACAGATATCTCGTTTTCGACGCTTTGAGTGTGGAATCGATAAACCGCCATCGGCTCAAGAATTTGGGGTTTTAGGTCACTGTGAGATTCATTATCAGGCTCTTCATCAATGCGTCTCGGATAGAAACCTCGTTACACTCCTGCCTCCATGCCCTCGGGCTTTACCTGTTCCGCTTGTGTTGCGAAAGGGCAAAACATAGGTTTTGCCGTAGTCTATCGGAGGCAAAAGTGGAGTTTTGCAATTTCGCAACACGCTGGCTGTGTGCCAAGCACGCGGGACGGAGCTTCTGTGAGGCGCGTGCTTGGCACTGTTTTGACCATTCCGGTCTTTCGTCAGCTCAGGACCCACCCACCCACCCGGATAGGATTGCTGACGATACGAACGCGCGCCTCAGGATGCATTGTTTTTGCAGGAATTTTGGAAGGGCGAGGCAAGGCATGGCAGCAGTGATCGAGAGGAAATGGGCAAAGTGTGCTGTGGAATCTTATCGGAAAGGCGTTACAACGTAGAACAAGCTCGACTACAAGAAGAAAGATACGTCTTGCATCGTTTGTGCGCTTGAGAGCATAGCAACTCATATGTAACACTGGGTTCTACCTTTCTAGTTTTGATGTCAATCGTACATTACAGGGAGATTGAGTCATTTGCTTCTCAGATTTGGTGTTCTGGATGTACCGGTAGATTAGGACGTTGTTTCGGAGAAGTGTTGATTTGCATCGTTCCTTGTTACGCGTTATACGGTCCCGTTAGCAAGGGCAACATCATTGTTTAGGTTCTCCCGCTCCTTACTCTCCTTCCATAATCTCATTGATCATTAGCCTACAAGGCGTTTGTTGTTCAGTTGTATCAGTGGATAATTTGTGCTGGGAGCTTCCCAATATTATGTTCATAGCTGACGAATGAACCTTCACCCCCCTCCGCTTGTGTTGCGAAAGGGCAAAACATAGGTTTTGCCGTAGTCTATCGGAGGCAAAACTCACCGTTTTCTTCCCTAACAGTTGCATATTGAGAATTTGCTAGCGGACACGACGCTCGATTGCACAAACCCGTCAAATTGAACTCATTCCGACAAAATAACGTTGGCTTCGTCCTTGAATCAATGAAGTCAATCGAATAAAGATCAAAGATAAGGTAAAAAGAACTCACCAAGCTTTATACGCGCACTGTCCTTTGCGCAAGATATTCCAAGTGATGTCATCGTTCTGCATTTTGCAGATACGTGATTACCTATAAGCGCGATCTATGCTTGTTATGAACTCTTAAAAATAAGAGAAGGTTGTACTCTGATTGCGAAAAAAAACGAGAGTAAACGAGACGTAATAAAAAGGCGCGGTCTGCGATTACACTAATGTCATGTGGTCGCTACGAGCCGTCAATTTCTTGTTCTTCGATGCAATTGCACAACAATTTGAATGAAGGTGTTGACCGTAACCATAGAGTGCGCTAGCAAAGCTTCCAGAATTACCTAGATTGATCGACGGATTGAGTTACTACTCTAGAGCAGTGCCTCTCAAAATCTCTTCTATTATAAGTCGCCATGCGACAATAAGCTGCAATTTGTGCGCCCGCTCCAAAGGTACCGTCCTCCCCAAGTTGAGGGTCTTGAGCTTTTGGCAGCATATGGTAGCAGGCCCCCTATCAAGCCAATGCCAAGTCGCGGCGTAAAAGCTTTGACAGCGAGAAAATCGCTCCGGAATAACGAGGTGCACAGAACCCCCAGACGGCACCGCCCTCTCCATCCATGCCCGCCCATTCGTGCGCGCCCATCCAATCACCGTTACAAAAAGACGGCCAGTGGGTTCTCCGCAACGGGGATTGTCTGGGTTTTCGCGGATTCTCGACTTCATATTCGGAACCAGTGACATGAAAAGGCGCTGAAACGACAAAAACCTGGTCGAGAATCTGGGTGGATGGTGCCTCTAAAGGGGAATATAGGTCACTCTCAGCAGAGGAAGACCCATTGTAGAATGTCACAGGCTAAATAAATTCTTAAGGGATGCTCCATTTAACCTTTTGTTTAGATGAACGGAAACTGTGGACACCGATTAGTGGCTTGTTTTTACTTGTAAATAATCAAAATTATTTTTGAAAATTTTTAAAAATTCAAATTAGCCTTGTAAAAATTTTTTTTCTAAAATGTTGGTGTCAGGGGGCCGCAAAAATCTTGGAAATCATCCAAAAAAATTTTGTCGCCCCCCCCCCCCGAGTGGGAATCCTGGGTACGCCACTGCGTGCTTCCCCCCCCCCCCCCTCCCCTCAAATTGGGTCCCAAAATTTCTCAAATTTTTCGAAGGTCCACACGATTACCCTAATTTCACGAGTACAAGACGCGCCTATTTCTTTTTTTCAGAGCGACCAGCCTAAACACACCAAAACATTTCGCGACCAAAGGACCTATATATTGCTGCGTAATGCATGAAAGTATCGTGCGGCATAAGTTTCGTTTTCCAAAACTCAGCGAGGCGACTGAGTGGCTTGCTCAAAAAAAACGAAAAAGTGCGTCTTGTACTAATGAAATTGGGGTAATAAATTTATGAAAGCAATAAAATAAGCTATCAATTACTGGGATTGTATTTAACTTGGCTTGCTGAGTCAAAACTTTTATGGAGCCTTGACCATCAAAATTTTTTACAAGGAGTATCATTGTCATCTGGAATTTTGCACACCTCTCTTTCCTTTAATAAACGCTGAAAGTGTAGGTATCAAGATGATTATTTTAAAACTTTAAACCACAGTTCTAGGACCCCTAGGTATTCCTGGAATGAGATTCCATGTTTAATTTGAGCACACAGAACAACCTGTAAGCAAATCATTTAATTTGCTTTATTTCTCGCTTTTCTGACAGGTAATTTATCTTCGCGATAGGAAAATTTGCAAATATTATCTTTATAACTCTTAGTTTTTATATAAGTGCTCAGAATCCTGATGTTTGAAGTGGTAAACGCGCACTTTTTATCGAGTTTCGGAACCTCTAAATTCAGCCTTCTTGGAGTGCATTGGTCGAATTTTCTCAAAGGGAAGGCCTTCGGAAACTGTTTCAAATTTCGAGTTGGAGAGAGCTGGAGACAGCTGGAGAAATGTGAAAAAAGTGATGCATAGAAAAAGATTTGCTCAATTCTGCTGTGATAACTCTCAAACTGAAAATTTGAAGATCAGCTAAAACCAAGCAATGTGAGAACAATGGGCGTAGAATAGTGGTTATTTGAGCCATCATCCAGAAAAAAAATCAGCTCAACAAACATTCCTGAAAAAGAGACAAGTTATGCATGTAGTCTTATCCATTAATATGCCATTCGAGTGTAGCTTAAGAACGGCTCGAATCTTGAGAACCACTTGATAGATGACAGAAGGCTGGCACAAATAATTTACTGCTGTTAAGCACACTAAACTCATACAATTCTCAGGCCTAATACCTGTCGAGGAAAAGGCGTACAATATGATGTCAAAGAAAAATCACCTACGAATCACTATCACAAAAGCTGTGATTGTACAAGTCCAAACATTTGCACTAAGAAAATATCCGAAAAGAAAAATGAAACCTATAATCACAATCGCTATAGAAAGATCACTGGTGAGTTAAAAATAAACTAAAAGTCGAACTAGTAAGCACGTCAAAAGCAAATATTTACCTAATAGGTACACTTCTACAAAACAAATATTAGGCTACTCGTCATCACTCCAAGAGTTTTTGCAATCCTCAAATTCCAACTCCTCTTCAGCCTTCCTGCTCACGTATTGTGCTTGGCAGACACTGCGTAACATATCCTTCACCAATTTCACTACTTCCTCATCGTAGTCGTCGGTGCCCTCCATCTCTTCTTCATCATCACTCCACCAATCTGGATCCTTTTCTTGAACGAAGGGAACAGGAGGTAGCGGTTGGCTATTTTTGGAAGCACTCTCGTTTGGTTCATCGTCATCGCTGCAGAGTGCCGCAAAGTGATTGAACTGAGGGAGTGGAGGCAGATGAGTTGGAGCCAGCTGTGGAGCCACTCGCTTTTTGAAGGGTCGTGTCCCTCTCAAGGTTTTCATAGAGTTCCCATTTTCTTCAGCATTAGTTTCGATGCGCTTAGCCTCGTCACTGAGGTTGCTGAAAATAAGCACATTCAAAATTCTACTTTTAAAAACTCAAAAAAATCAGCGAACAAAATGAAACAAACAAATCAGACAAAATATTTACCTTTTCAAAGTGACTGCGCCTCGCGCCTTCAAAACTCCAGGATACTTCAACAGTGCAGTCAGCAAAACCAAAGGAGCTCGGCTGATACCCCTGAAACCAAAGTTTAATTACCCAAGCAAAAAAATGCCACTCGGGTAGAACTTCTACGAAGAACCTAATGACATACCTCCTTGCAGTCGCTATCACACTCCTCTTTGGTGGATCATCAACGCTAGTAGTCTCAATCGAAAAATACGTAGCATACTCATGTATGAATCGTCTCTTTTCCACGGCCATAGGACGAAAATTGAAATTCATGGTCGCTCCAAGGTATGTAGGCTAAAAATATGGATGAACTTAAGAGAGGAGGCAAGAGAGGAAAAAAAAGGATAATTTCTTACATCTCCCATTTTCTCCAAAAGCTCAAGGAAGTCAGTTTCCACTTCTTGCACGAACGTGGCATTGGTGCGCAATTCTGCCTGCAAATCAGTCGAATAGTGTGAAAAAAGGCAAATGCAGATAAGAAGACTGCAACTGGGGCGTGCTCAACAAACCTTGACATATTCAGTATAGGTGATAGTCGGTTCCTTCTCCAAATCACCATTTTCGTTGGTAACAAGTTCGAGTGCCTCAGCCAATCTTTTGTTGCGAGCTACTTTTTTGCACTCGTCATCACAGGGTAGGCTAAAAAAGAAGAATTGGCTTTGGCATAAACAGCACGACATCATTCATGAAAAGAGGATGTGTCAGAAACAATTGGCAAACATGTGTACAACCACTTACCAGTTCAACTTTTCCATACTTGCCGATCTTCGCAAAGCTCCAACACCTGAATCGGCACCATGGGCACCTTCACTATCCTCTGCCTCAAAAGCGCGCATACGTCCAATCATTTTCTCAAACTAAGAACACAACATAAATCACCCCAATCAAGACTGCAGAACTTTATTCTCACCTCAAAGCACTTCATCTGACTCTTTCGTTTACCACATTCACAAGTCACATTGACCATTTGATTACATTCGGACTCAGGGCACGGCTCAGTTCCATGACAAGGCAATGCGCATGGATGCTCGCAGGGTCGCCTCAGGATCATGCACGGACGAGTACATTTCTCACCTTCCTGTAAATTACATAGTAGTAAAACACTAATAATAATATTTATCACTGGTGAAACTTACCCTCAAACAGTCACCAGCATGACAGTTCCTGATGCAGTTATGAACACCACAGCCAAGAGGTTTATCACAAACTCGGCCGCATGAGACAGCTTGGATGTGACAGGGGATGTTTTTACGAAGCTAAAAATGTCACTTTGTCGCCTCAAAGCAGCAAACTACGACTTTAACCAGTACCTCATGACCTCCATAGCACATCCTCTCCACTAAGGCTGTGCAAGGTGGACATCGCTCCTCACCATGGCACCTGTGCGTCACTGGATGATCACATGCATGCGGCCTGGCACATGGAAAATCACACTCCGGTAACGGAGCTCCGCAAGGTATCGGAGGTGGTCGCATGGTGCGCCCGCAATGACAGTATTGCTCTTCGAAACCTAAGAAGATTCGAAAAAATTCACTACGTCCACTTGGTAAAACGTTTCTTTGAAATTTAGTCCCAAATTGTAAAAAACAAAGAAAAGCCAAGAAATGATGACGTGAAACGGAAACGATGACGTAATTCAAGTGAACTGATTTATGACACATGCGACAATATTGTCAAAAAAAATTACTTGAATTTAGACATCTTGGACATTGCCCAGCATGACAGATATGTTCACAGAAGTGAAGACCACATGAGAGACGTTTGTTGCAGATCTGAAAATGTGACAAGATGTCATTAAAGACTTGATGGCTAAACATAGAATGATCTAAAGAACATACTTGCATGCATATATGCTCGGTCTGTATGCAGCACACTTCTTGACATTTATGTATTCCGCAAGATTTCCTTTTCTTACAACGTCTTTCACATAGAAACTCACTGTCTGAATGGAACCATTTCATTCAGAATGGAATCTTCAGAAGCAACAATAAAACAAAAAGATTGTTCTGTTTTCAAAAATAACCGAAATAATCGAAGCATCAAGAAATATTCGACACTATCACCTGCAAACTGAACATACTCCTTGCAAGGCATGGTACGTTTCACCTGCTTGCAACGACATATGACAGACGTATTGAGCTCGCAAGGTGGACATTCGCCAGTATGACATAGTGCGCGACAACGATGACGTTTTTCTGGAAAATGACAAATTTTGTTATATCTAGATGTGAAGATTCAAAAGCACGAAAGATGTGATACGCACCTGTACTGCCACATTGCAACACTTTTCCGCACACATTTCGGCAAGTTGGAATCGGATCCCGGCAGGATGTCCTTTTGACATTCAGCTCTTGAACTGTGCATTTGCCGCAAGGGCAATGTGTTATACGTTCAGGAGCAGAAGGGCATGGGCCGCAACCAGACTCGCCGATGGGATGACAGCTAAAAACACAGGTTTGGAAAGCAACGGAGTGCAATTTTAAAGAAAAAAAAACCCGACCTTCTGGTACATCGATGAATTCCACAAGAGTAGATTCCTTCACAAGGCTCACCACATGAGTAGCTTTCTTCGCCATTCCTTTCCCAGCAGAGAATCTCACGTGAAGATGAACCACAGAAGCAAACTAAAATACTCGTTAACGTGACATTGACGCTAATACCGGAACGATTCATATATGCCCTAATTCATGCAGAAAGTTAACTTAAGAAAGATCGATTTACCTTGTTTCACTACAACTTCGCATTTGCCACAATCTCCCTCATGACAGACTTGAGAGCAGCAGTGTTCCCCGCAAGCATGGAGCCGATCGCAGACTTTGTCACACTAAATCAGATAATTCCAGAATTACGGTCAAAGTAGAAACTCAACAAAAGGGGAAGATTTTTATAGAAAAAAGCTAACCTTAACTTCCGTAACGGATCCGCAACGTACAGCCTTCTGAACGGCGCCGCAGTTGCACCTACGGGTAAGCATCACCGGACATTCAGGGCATGGACCAGGATGACAAAGTTCAGTGCATGGATGAGGACACCCAGGAGCACGCTGACCACCACAAACATTACCACAGGAATGGGGTATCTCACCACTGTAAAAAAAACAGTCGCTGATAAGCAAAAAGAAAAAAAAGGAAATATTCGAGGAAGGATGTAAAACTCACAGCCTCGAAGACGGATTCCTTTCTTTATGACAGAAACAAAAGTAGTTGTAAGGAACTGCTTCCTGCTTAGTCTGGCAAGTAGGACAGCGCCATCTAAATGAGCTCATGAGCGAGGATCCAAAGAATAATTCATTAGAAAGGTATGAAAACTAAATTAGACAGAGCCAGACAAAACGTTCTTACTTGTTATCTTCTTCTTTGCTTTTCTTTGCCCAATTGATGATGCATCCACCAGAAATGTGGAACATGTGGTAGCAAGTTCGGCAAGTCCAGATACCCTAAAATGTACAATTAAAGCAGATATAAACACACAAAGTGAATTTGGGTCAAACCTGTCTGGGATAGATTATCTGGCAGCAGATAGCGCATTCATAACAATCGTCTTCAAGCTGTTGGATCAGACTTTCTTAAAATCGACAATAAGAAAAAATCTCGAGATGTGAAGACAAAGTTTAACCTCTCATCGAAAGCTCCTGCCCATCCTCACGTACTTGCTTTCTTCTCGGATGAGGGCGAACAGGATACCGACGTTGATAGCCATCACGATCTGGCTGAGTAAGACTGACTCCGTGTATTCCTTCTTGTGGTTTGCGATACTGCTGTTTTCCAGGACCACTAGGGCGTTCGAATTCTCGGTCAAAATAAGCAGGATTCTGCCGCACTTTATTTGCAGAAAATGGTCGGCGCTGCCTGCCACGGTAGTTGGAGTTCGGAGGAGGTGCAGTTGCTTCTTGAGCATCAGAGTTTGGAACAATGCCAGCTCCAGGAATAAAGGGAGCGGCATTTGGATTGAAAGGCATGTCTACACTGGACACGACACCGCCTGAAACTGACGATTTTATGGAAGGGAGTACATGGAAAAACCGAAACAAAACGATAAAAAGCTTACCTATGCTGTACTGAGGAGGAGGAATACGGGGACCACCTCGGCCACGACCACGGTTGGACCGTTGAGGCTGATTAGGTGCATTTTCAGTTTGTGACTGTGAAACTAAAATTCAAAGAATTAAGTTTGATGTGTGGCTTTTGAATATTGTAAATGTTCCTGTCAAGATTTTTGAAACAGAATTCGTGCTCAACATCCGATGTGGATATGAAAGTGAAATGAGTGTCTGATATGGGGTCGTTCAAACCGCGCACAAAGGCGCACGAAGGCGCATGAAGGCGCACAAAGCTTGCTTTTCAGTTCGATCGATAACGAAGACAAACATACTGGACCTTTGTGCGCCTTCATGTGCCTTCATGCGCCTTAGTGCATCTTTGTGCGCGGTCTGAACGATCCCTATGAGTGAAAAGGTTTTAAAATGCTGTAGTTTAGATAAATTTGATTACACACTCCAAAAAGGCACCTGATCACACGTACAAAAGGCCCGAAAACGTCTTCCATTAGGAAGTTCTTACAAATATATTTAAATCAAAGGTCAAGGTGAGAAATGAATTCGTGAGATTAAACAGAAACGAACTCACATTCACTAGACATGCTATCACGCTGATTTGATGTGTTCTCTCCGCCACGCCCTCGCTGTGGTCGATATTTGCGACTAAAAACAAAGATTGTGCTATACATGGATAATACAGTGGTTGTATGGACATAAACAGCAGAGCATGACAGTCGAAAAAAATGAGGACTCCCTTTCCCAATAGAAATCGCACAAAATATCGCAACATCACTGAAATCCAAAAATTTTGTCTACCTTACTCTGTCCAAAAGAGTGGTTAAAAATGAGACTTCGACAGTTTTACGCAGTTTCAGAACAAAACTTGTACTCAAACAAGCTAAGCTTGAAATTACTGTGGCAAATTTTACAACCGTCAGTCGAGGGATTTTAATTCGTCTAGCTAATCTCTATATGCGCAATAAGATGCGGCTACAGTTATACTGCCTGGCTCCAGTACGGATCTGATTGACTCTGCTAAACTGAGCGCGCAGAAAAGGTGCCACCGAATCTATGCCTTCTGGCAGCTTTTTTTCTACATTGATTTCTACGCTATCCCCAAGTTACCAAATCAGATGGAACACATGTTCAGTTTGAATGATGATAGCAACACTGATCAAAGAACAAAATTAGACCTCGAGATCACAGAATAAGCTTACTTTTTCAACTGTGCTGGTCTGCCGAAAGGATTTTGAGCATTGCCATATCCAAGCTGCTCTGACGGTTCCGAACTACCAGCATCCGGCTGCTCTCTGGCAGATGAGGCATCTTGAACTGGATTTTGGGTGGAAGTGCCTCCAGCATCGCTGCGGTTTCGGGCGCCACCACCTCGTCCTCCTCGAAATCCTCGACGACGTCCTCGTCCGCCTCGTTCTGCAGTTGTTGTTGATGTTACAGTCGCCGAGGACGTCGCTATGTCGCCCATGGCGAACCAGTAAAATCTGGAAAAGTAAGTTGAGGAAACGGTATTCAAACACATCTCTATCCAGCGCAAGTGACGGAGATACAATTGTAAAGAGAACTTTGTGCGATAAACACGACTCGATTTCTGTGGGCACAAACTACAATGGTTTCTCTAGACACTATATATATCCGTAAAACCGGTCACCCCCTTCTTTCATGACGTTTGTTCAAATTTCACACTGTTGCGCAATCCGTCTAAAGGATGTCTACGATTGCACATTGCGGTCGCATGTGGAAAGCGATTACAGGGCGAAAGTCGGCCCTTTAACTGAGATAATTTCTTCCCCCAAAATGTTGACTTTGATTGAAGTTTTGCCCTTTTTATTTTCGTAACTCTAATTTTCGCTTCCTGAGTGCTTTGAAACGGCATAATTTATGATTTAGCTTTATAGCTAAGGAACAAGGAAACGTTTGGCTTTGCTAGAACGAGCTGGTCCACAAGTCCGTTCTTGTGTTCTCTCTAATCCAGGGTTCTTTGCTAAGCGGAAACAGGGAAGAACAGGTTGAAGCTTGTTTGAATGTGTGCAAAGTGGTTTCTAGTCTCTTCTGCTTCAGTATGAGCCGCCAACTTGCTTGAATCGTTTCGGAAAGTTCCGAAATGGTTTCGCTGACATTAGTCTTTCTCTTTGAGAATACATGGGTAAGGTTGACTTTCGAGGAGGGACCATCCTTCAATTGTAATTTTCTCAAATTGTTTTGGATGGCGCCGATTTCCGTGTTCATTTGGAAAGGCAAAGGATTAGCATTGTAATATCTCACGCACTTTTACGCGATCTTGATTTTCAATGATTTGAAAGGACGCTGTGGCCACTGTTGCAGCGAGATTTGATCCCTACAGAGCTATGGACTGGTAATCTACTGCCTTTGCGGCCGACGTTTTCCGACAACATTCACGCGTGATTAAATTGCTACGCCTTAGGCCTCGGGCATACCTCACGCGAATTCAGTCGCGCCGCGATTTGGCATTACTCCAAATGTTCATAACTCATCGTTCGAGGTTTCTGAATGTACGGAGATGGAGCAATTTATCAACCTACGAAAGTTATACATACTTTGCATTTGGGGTCTAACAGTATTGAATTTGAAGACATCTGGCATTGCCAGATCGCGTGGCGACTGAAATCACATGAAGTACTAGATGGCTTACCCGGCTCCGCCCGGCCCTGTATTTGTAATCAGCATGCTCGATTACCCCCCTGTACCAACTCCCAGCCCCGTAGCTCAAATTTTGCAAAAAATCGATAAAATCGATATCGATCGATGACGAAAAGTAGCCTATGACACCCGCCGGGGGCCGAAGTGTATGTGTGCCAAGTTTGGTCCGGATCGGTTCAGAAATGGAATTTTCTATTCGGAACATACGTACACACATACAGACAGACATACAGACAGACAGACAAACAGACATTCAGCTTTATATATAAGACGGAACATACGTACACACAAGACAGACATACAGACAGACAGACAAACAGACATTCAGCTTTATATATAAGATGCCTCTTGCCTTAAGGGCCGGGCATACTTCACGCGATTTCAATCGCGGCACGATTTGGCAATTCGCCAGAAATCTTAAGATCCAACTAGCAAACTGCACATGCATAGTGTGTGTAACTCACGTGGCTTGATAAAATGCCCTATCTTCTGTATATCCAAAAGGTGACAGTGAATTATGAACAGTTGGAATATTGCCAAATCGCGTAGAGACTGAAATTCGCGTGAAGCATGCTCGGCCCGTCAGTGGCTGCAATCTGCGTGCGCACAATTTGCTTGGGTGGGGAATGTCCAAGTTTCGTTTACCTGGAAATTTGTCTCGCGCGCAAATGTTGTCGGCAAGGTTGGCAACGCACGGGCAATATTAAAAGCCGGATTCACTACCCCTTATGTGACTATGAGTCCTTCGGCCAAATGCAGACAACTGGGTGAATACGGAAGTTTCACCACTGCTATTTTTGGGTGGCACCTAACAATTTCTTTGACCCCTCCCCTCCCTCGAGAATAGTTCGCAAAATTTTGGAATAACCTACATGAGTTAAAAACCTGCAAATGGTTTATTAATCCGCAAAAAGCAAAGTAGGTCTCAGAAAGTTACAAAAATTCAAATTAGCTTTTAAAATCTTGGAACAACCTAAACCGTGAAAGTAGCCCGTAAAAATTTTGAAAAGCATCTCAACAAATTCTGCAAAGGGCAAAACCAACGCCATCTCCTTTTCAAAAAAGACACATCGCCTTCTCTCCCCTCTCTCCTTGCCCCACCCCCCAGCCCAGAATTGCTCTGACCGTCATAGATTTACAGGTTTTGTTTTGTAACGTTTTTTATTCCTTACAAGTTAACGGAAGGGTAACGATCGAATTGCATTCTATATCCGCATCTGTATATGTCTATCTGATGCAGCGAATAGTTAGCAATACTCCACATTTTTCAGGTGACCAGCACTACACAAAGCTACAAACATGGGTCGTATGCACAATCCTGGCAAGGGTATGTCGAAGTCGGCTTTGCCGTACAGACGCTCCGTTCCATCTTGGCTGAAGCTGACCAGCGCTGATGTTCAGGATCAGATCGTCAAGCTTGCTAAGAAGGTTTGTTGAACAGTGAGGAACTAGAGGGTTCGATTCTCTCAGTTACCCAAGACTGTTCTTTGAATGTCTGAGTATGAACTGCGGTCTGAAATACCCATAGTCTAGTGGTTTTTTTGATTCAATATAGTGTGCTTGTAGAGTCAAGAATAGGCGACAAAACTTGCGCGTGCAAGTAGTCCCGTCTGTGATGCCGGCCACTTGCGCGCGCGGAGTGCCGGCATCACAGGTGTGGCTGTTTGTTCACGCACAAATTCTGTCGTCCGATCTAGGCACCGTACACCGTACTATACCAAGCAGAAAATCCGTCAGACTCTAGGTAGACTAGGATCGCGGTTTGAGAATGAACTAGGACTTCTTTTCATTGGTTGGTCAGACGGAAATAATTTTGATCTTCTAGGGTCTCCGTCCTTCCCAGATCGGTGTCATCCTTAGGGACTCCCATGGAGTCGCTCAGGTGCGCCGCGTAACGGGAAACAAGATTTTCCGTATTTTGAAGGCTAAGGTAAGAAGACAATCGTAAACATTCGTTAACTTTCGCCGCTAAAATTCCTTTTTTTTTGTTGCTAATAATTGATTTTCAGGGTATGGCCCCAGAGATTCCAGAGGATCTTTACCATTTGATTAAGAAGGCTGTGTCTATTCGCAAGCATCTCGAGCACTCACGTAAGGATATTGACAGCAAGTACAGACTTATTCTTGTCGAGTCTCGAATCCATCGTTTGGCTCGCTACTACAAAACCAGCCGTCAACTTCCAGCAACCTGGAAGTACGAGTCAGCTACCGCTGCTTCTCTCATCTCATAAAGTTGTTTCTTTTGATGTTATTTGTTATAAATTGTTGTGAGTTTTGTGTGTTGCTTTGCTTACTATCGAAAAGCAAATCTGGCTCAACGAAGAGTCTGATGTAGTCTTTTTTTTTTCAAATTCCATGGATCCCGAAGTAGAGATGGATTAACTAACTGAGGTACTGACAGCGCGTTGTTCTTGAAAATTTGCAGATGGGTCATTGACAGAACTGGCCGTACGTCATATTTGTGTACATTCGAGTAATCATTTCTGTGTACATCTGGGTGAATGCTGTCTGCAGTCTTCCTTTTTGCAAATTTTTATCCGGTGAAGTTTCTTATCAGCAAGTTTCTGATAGTGAAAAAAGCGGAATGAAGAAGTGGACTAGGTGGATCAAGAGAACATCCGCTTTGCTGCTGGTCACTCCACTGATTTGACCAATAGCGAAGTAGACTAAGTATGGCACGTGCCATAAGTATGAACAAATGAATGCGCACGGATGAGAAAATTTATGGTGATGGCTGAAAAAAGTTCAATTGACGTCTACTTCGACTATTAGTGCTCATGAGATTTTGTGGTAGCCCTTTTCGCACTAAAATACTGTATAATAACGTAGTCTTCCTGTTCTTGCTTTTTAGTGACAAGATTGTCGTCTTTGCATCTTTTTTGTTAGCAAGATGATCACTATTGATACTTCTTCACTATAATGCATAGGGTAGTGGCGATCCGAGATAGCCGTGTATACTGTAGTGGCGCAAAAGGACCACTTTCATATGGAGTGGATTCTGGAGGTTTTGATAATGGAAGTATAAGCTGAAGAATTGCAAGCGCTGCGCGCACCATGTTAAGCATTTTGTGGAGAGGTTACCTACCATTTAAAATATGAAGTTGGTAGTTATGAGAGGGTGATAAAGAAGAAGAATATCATTTGAAAGCTGGTCTTCACACTGTTTCTTATACTTAGCAACAGTGATAATCACAAAAATCTCCTGGTTTACATTTACTTACCAAGATACCTTATCAAAAGCTATTTGTGGTAACCGCACAACATAGTGCATGGGGTAGTCATGGTAACCGTAAGCATATACGAGCAGAAGCGCGATGCTATTGTGAAACCGCTTTTTATTCTTCCATGAAATTCGTCTGGTAGACTATGAAGGTAAGCTTAGTTCATTAGTCTGAAGAAAAAAATTTACGCGTTTCTGATTTGATTTCGCCGAAAATTAGGTTGTACCAAACACTTAAGTAAAGCATTATGAATGCCATCCTAAATTGTTAAGAGTTTTGGGAAAATTACAGATTTCTTTTTAATTTCTTAGCTAGTTGAAATCTATTGTAAGCTTCTACCAGCAAATGCAGTCTTCTTGTTTCCTCGATAAGCTTCTACCAGCAAATGCAGTCTTCTTGTTTCCTCGAAATTGTTGGTTTTCCTTGTCGCATTAAGCTAATCCTAGAATATTTTTTGAGGTATGACCAAAAATGAAAATATAGTGTTTGTTTTTCACAAATTATTCTCAACGAAAACCAGAAGTTTGTTGCCTCACTGAATTTTAGACGGAGTATGCAGAAATTCCAACATTTGTAGAAACATTTGCTCTAGATTTACTTAGTTGCGTAGCTTTGTGTAATCTACAGTGAAAAATATTTCAATATTTCAATCTAAAAGTGTGCTCCCGTTTATTTTTATTTGCCAACCCTCTCATTCTCTCATCGAGAATATATGACGTTCAAGTTTCTTTTGCTATTACCTAATAATTTTTTTTTCTAATTTGTAATACACTTTGACCGATTTTGTTTTGCAATTTTCAGCTCCTATACCGAATAACAGACGAAACTGTTGGTTCTGGACCAACATGCCTAGCGTGGCGACCCAATGGCAATACCCTGGCCATGGCCAGGTGATATTTTTTTTCAACCTTCTCCTTCATTCGATAAATGAAGTATAAACAGTTGTTTTTAGCGCCAACAACTCTGTCATTTTATACGATAGGAAGGGAGCTATCGTTGATGTTCTGGATCTGATAGGGCTAGTTTTACTTTTTTTTAAAAATTTTATTTGTGTGAAATCACGCGCAAACAATGCGCGAGCTTTACTGTTGCTCCATTTCGTTTGCGCAACGCGTTACCGCGACTGAAAGGCATCAGACGACGCTGCGCGTCTCTGGCCGCAAAAGGGCATTGTCTGCGCCTTCAAGGTTGAGCTCTAATCTCTTACTTTCTTTGTACAATAATGCTACCGAAAAGGAAACGTTAGTGTACAAATCAACAAAATTTTGTTTTATTTTGATTTGCAATTCGTTTTACTGAGCTTCTGCAATGCTAAACAAATTACGTAAATTCTTTCTTTTTCCCCGTGACCTCTCAATTCCATGTCCCTATTTTCCACCATATTCATGTTATTCATTGTTTTCGCCCAAATGCATCGATTTTATTTGAACAGATGATGCATATAGAAAAATATCATACACGCATCAATAATTATTGTGCATCAAGCTTCTTTTTTATGAAATTAGTTCTGGTGGTTCTCAAAAAAACGTATTTTTAGCTTCAGTTAACATTCAAGCTTCGTTGTGGGGAAGAGAATGCAGTAATTGCCTTGCAAATTAGAGCCTCATAAAACTAAAACGAATTTGAACGAACCTTTCTTTTATGGTTACAAATGCCCATAGTGAGATTGTTCAAGAATTCATGGGAAACGTTGAATAACCCTACTCCCATGGTATCTTTTACAACAACGCGGAACAGTTTTTGTCTTTCCGTTTTTCATATTCCCTTCCTTGCATGAATTGTTATGTTTCTAATAGTCACTCGTGATTCACCAGCTTTAGTTTTCTCACAGCATCATGCTAACTTGGAATTTAAATGTCATCGTAAGACAATCAATTTCTTGTTTTTTTTCTGGGAGGAAGGCACAATTTCTACCGGTTATTTTCCAATGTTTCTTTTGAAAATCGATGAATTCAAAAATAAAGCGCACAGAAGGTGGATCTTTGCCTCCGTCTAAAATAGTACATGTTTGAGAGAGACAGCAGGTAGTTAGAGGAACGTTAAAAAATGTAAAAAATGTAAAAAAAAACAAAAAAAAGCACTTATAATAGCAGGAAAAGATATTCAGTTTCTGAAAAATCACCAACAAATTCTTCATGTTCATATTAGCAGAAATACCTTTCCAGAAATGTCATCGGAATGTCATGGGACAAAGAAGGAGATGTGCTTGGAATCCTTGTTGACAACTCCTCTCTGGCTGTTCTATGGAATATCAACACAAAAAATGCGGAACAACTGGAAACTGCCATGGGATCCAGGTAATTTCTTCTTTCTGCTGAATTAACGAAAATATAAAATTTGCAGAGAGCTACCCATATGTCTTGTTTGGTCGTCTGTCTCAGCTTTGCTTGTGATTGGAAATAGTAATGGAAATCTGTTTATTTACAACCATAAATTGTCCAGGTAAAGATTTGAGGCTTTTCTATTGGTTGAAAAATCGTCCTCGTCGCCGAATTTTCTTTTTTCAGGAAAATCCCCGTTTTGGGTAAGCACCAGAGGAAAATATGTGGAGTGGCAATGACAAAACAAGATCAAATTCTTTGTTGCAGTGATGACAGCACTATTACAGGTAGATTACTTGTTAACTTTTTTGGAGGATCTAGATTTTTTTAGTGTCTTCTGCTGACGGCGAAACATTAAAAACTATGACGCTGTCAGCTGAGCCGGAGGATTTGAAAATTGGAGAAGTGAAACGACCCGGTGGTAATGTGGATACAATCGTGAGTTTCTTCAAATTTACCATTTAATTTGTGTTTTGGAGATTTTTAATAGATTTTTTGTATTCTTTGGTGCAGGAGTTGGATATGAACCTAATAAGACAGATGAATAATTAAGTTGATTAACCGAATCGTTTTAAAGGTTTCGAGTTTAGAGTCGGCTAAGTTGGAGAAAAATATTAATGAAATGTGAAACAGTGGGACAGTTGTAGTGAATAAAAAGACCTAAAAATCTATGGATAACAAGAAAGTTTGTAGAGAAAAAACGGAATATTCCCAGCGATGCGAAAAATAAACAAAATGAAGCAAAAATTATGTTTAGGGATCAGTATGGAAAGACTGAAGTTCAACTACGACGATAAAAGTAGATGATATCATAAATTACGTCAAAAGAAGGCGGATGACCGTGTGGTCATAGCAGCTTCCGTCGTTGGTCCATAAGCTTAATGTCCAAGAGGCTGTAATTTTCCTTAACTTTGATGATTCACTTAAATTTTGAAGAAAAATCTTGCGTTTCCTATTAGTGCTTAAAGAAGAACCAGATGAAGTCATAACGAGGCGATTTAGACCGACAAAAGATAAAATCCGTACTGTATTTTACTTTTCTTCGTAACGTTTCATTCAAATATAATTTTACTTTTGTTCGCAACTCAATTTCTTGAGTATAATTTTGTGCTGATGTTCTGTCCAGCATTTTGTTTGCTTTGTGAAATCTTTACGATGGTCAACTAAAGAGACCCTGCCTTATTGACACAATGGGAAATCGAAATATTTTGCAGCAATATCAAAATCATTTTCTGAAGCTTTCTTGTGCGAGATAAGAAACTTTTGGAACAATCTATTTAACACAGATATTTTTAGGTTAGCGCAGTGCTAGGCAAGAAGACACTTTTTCTTTCTACACTTACTGACAAACCAAAGGATTCAACGGAGAACGATGCTGACAACTCCATGAATTTACAGTTTCAAGAAAAGTATGGCAATATTGTTGCCCATGTTTGGTAAGTAAGTCAAGACATGCTTTATTGATTGGTTTGAAGAATTCTGTTTTACAGGTATAATGACGGTTATATGATCGTCGGGTTTGAAAAAGGTTTTGTCGTATGCATCTCAGCTCATCCATCAGAAATGGGACAGGTACAATTATCTATCTTTAAATCATAGTAATTCTGTCCTTTCCTCTTGCATTTAGCAACTTATCTTATATATAAAACTGAATGTCTGTTTGTCTGTATGTATGTATGTGTGTACGTATGTTCCGAATAGAAAATTCCATTTCTGAACCGATCCGGACCAAACTTGGCACACATACACTTCGGGCCCCGGCGGGTGTCATAGGCTACTTTTCGTCATCGATCGATATCGATTTTATCGATTTTTATCGATTTTTTTGCTGAGTTCACCTACGGGGCTGGGAGTTGGCACAGGGGGGTAATCGAGCATGGGGATTCCGAATACAATATTGGTTTTCAGGATTATCGATTACTTTTATCGATTTTATCGATTTTTTTGCAAAGTTTGAGCTACGGGGCTGGGAGTTGGCACAGGGGGGTAATCGAGCATGGGGATTCCGAATACAATATTGGTTTTCAGGATTATCGATTACTTTTATCGATTTTATCGATTTTTTGCAAAGTTTGAGCTACGGGGCTGGGAGTTCGCACAGGGGGGTAATCGAGCATGGGGATTCCGAATACAATATTGGTTTTCGGGATTATCGATTACTTTTATCGATTTTATCGATTTTTTTGCAAAGTTTGAGCTGGGGGGCTGGGAGTTGGCACAGGGGGGTAATCGAGCATGCTGATCATTCCCAAGGGGGGTGATCAGCATGCTCGATTACACCCCTGTGCCAAATTCCAGCCCCCTAGCTCAAATTTTCAAAAAATCGATAAAATCGATAAAAGTAATGGACGATCTTGAAAACTAATATTGTATTCGTAATCTGCATGCTCGATTACCCCCTGTGCAAACTCCCAGCCCCGCAGGTCAAACTTTACAAAAAAAATCGATAAAATCGATAAAAGTAATGGACGATCCTGAAAACTAATATTGTGTTCGTAATCAGCATGCTCGATTACCCCCCTGTGCAAGATCCCAGCCTCGCATGTCAAAATTTACAAAAAATTGATAAAATCAATAAAAATAATCGATAATTCTGAAAACTAATATTGTATTCGGAATCCCCATGCTCACTTCCCCCCTGTGCCAACTCCTAGCCCTGTAGGTGAACTCTGCAAAAAAAAAACCGATAAAAATCGGTAAAATCGACATCGATCGATAACGAAAAGTGGACTGTGACACCCGCCGGGGCCCGAAGTGTATGTGTGCCAAGTTTGGTCCGGATACGGCGGAGCCGGGTAAGCCAGCTAGTATGAAATAAGAAAAAGAGGAAAAAGGAACCAATAGAAGAGGAAAAGGTGCTCTTTAATAATCATTTTCTTTTTGAATCTGTGCAAGTTGACCTTTTAAGTCAGTAGTTGGCAGCATTCGAGAAAAAATTGCGGCCTTTTTTCACATTTTCAAGTTTCTACATTTCAATCGACGAGGAATCGATTTATTGATTTTTGGAATCAGATACGCGCCACAGAAATGTTTTAGATGACAACTTTCACTTTTTTCACATTTTCACATGTTTGACCAAAAATTCGATATATCGAATTCTTGGGCCTAACGGTGGCCTCAGAAATCTCTTGAGCTTTTATTTTATTTTAGTTTTTTTATTGATATACAGCACATCTCAGCAGCTACCGTTAAAGTACTGTACTACTGTCCTCTCCACACTACTATATTCTTTTTTGTCTAAATCATAAAAGTGTCGACGATATTGTTGTCATAAAAGTTTATAAAAGTCATAAAAGCACACACAACGTAGAATATGGAGCACTGGAGCACCATATAATCAGACTAAAGTGACCTGATTTAGGAGATCTTCAGCGTTGGTGAATATAAGACCTATTTGGCTGCAGTGGCTGCTAGTCCAGCTTTTGGAAAAATTCTAACTGTTGGCGATCATCAGTGAGTTCTCAATAAAAATTGATAACAATATTAAATAGATCAATAATGACTTAATAAAATGAGATACTTGTTTATAATGTCAAATAAGTACGCGATTTGGAACAAAATGACTGATCCCTCTGATATAATTCCAGAATCAAAGTACGTGAAATGCGTGAACTTAATGATATTTTTGTGATTATGGACGTCGACACGGAAAAAGGTAAGTATTTTTCCCATTTTTCTTTCACTTTTACGAAATTAAATTTGTCAGATCTCTCTCAAGTGGAATGTTCTCTGGACGGTCAGCTAGTTGCCGTAGCTGCTCGTGGAGGAGGAGTGTCCGTGTATCTCACAAAAATGCCCATAATGGGTGCAGCCTTCGGGGATACTGTAGCTGTACTGTCATCATTGAACCAAGTCACCTATTTGCCTGAGGGTGACAAGGTGAACTTTTTTATTTTTTTGGTTATTTTTAACAAATCTGGTACCATATAAAACTCGATTTATTATTTAAAATGTTTACTTTGATTTTCCAGCAACGAGGCATCGTCATTAATGTCTCCATAGAACCATCAGTGATCGCTGTAGGACCATATCATATAGCAGTAGCAACGAATAATCGTGTGTGGATATATGATGTGCATCGTAATGGTAAGGCTAAACATCTGTCCGTCTGCTCTCCTTTATGAGGAGAGAGGGGGGGGGGGGAGGTGATATAAATTTTGGCACACTGTTTTTTATTTATTTTAGCAGCGAATCAACCACCAGCCGCAAATCATCCTGTAGCCGAAGGCGATTATCTATCGACGGTCATTGATGTGAAGCTCAACGACGAATACATTTGTGTGGTAATGGAAGGAAAAGCTCGATTACATAGGGTAAGCCAAAAAATACGAAAGTAGAGGGAGAAAAGAGGGAGATATCAAAATGCTCTTTTGATGGGAAGTTGGGCAGATAGTTGGGGGAGGGTGGATGGATAAATTAGTTGAAAAAAGGACAAATTGAAGACTTTTTGAAGGTTTGTTTTGCTGTTGTTTTTCTCAAAAAGATTGCTAGGCGAAATTTTATTTGTAGCAAATGGCTGCTTGAATAATTTTATGGCTGAAAGAGTCCCCCGTTAATTGTTTCTTATATCAAGAAATCAATTTTGTCAAAGCTTCTTTTTTCCAAAAGCTCATTGTCAACCTTTTTCGTAACTTTTGCTTTTTCCGCAGTTTTTTTTAAATCTCATCATAGATAACGGTAAAATTTTTGTGAATGAAAGAATGTAGTATCTGTGAGGTTCGGAATTTTTCAATTTTTCGTCTCAAAAATATTTTCAAGATTCTTTCTAACAATTTCAGTAATTTCTCAAAAATAGCTGTTACCACCTAAGGAAACACTCAAATTTTTCAAAAGTCAAGGAGCTAGCCATGATCTCAGAGTTCTTCTTAGTGGTGGTATTAGCAATTTTTGAGTTTTGATCTTAATTTTTCAAAGTATTTTTCAACTCATAGGATTTTTTAGAAGTGGAAATTGATCTTTCTTTCTAAGTTTTTCTCTTTTCCAGATTCTCAACTCCGATTCGCATCCATCGATCACATTTCCTGAAGCAGCGAGAAACTCTAAACTTGTCTCTGCTGCTCTATCAGCTCATTTTCTCATCTTTAGCACGGAGGTAACATGAATGATTTTAAAAATATCTTATTTTTCAGAAAACTTCAGAAAAAAAAGAACTTTAGGCAAGTTATTTGATCTTCTTCTCACTGGCTGAATGGTGTGTTGTAAGCGAATATCGCCATACATCCCCGATCCGGCAAATTCATCCTGATCAGGATGGACTCAGGGCAGCTATCTTGGATGAGAGGACTGATACATGGGTTTATAGGTAGGAAACAACTAGATTGATAAATCCAGGAGCGCTAGTCATCAGTCTCCTAGTCGGGCGCTAAACCATTATAACGAGCTCCCAATCGGGAGATGGAAGCTCAATGTTTTGACGGTAAAGTAGCCTTACATGAGATTACAAGAGATTGATTAATACCGCCCCGCTTCTTCTTCGAATCGCTCATTAAGAGAATATTTTAGCCCCGTCGATGATTCGATGCATAAGCTGACAGCTGTCGGTAATGCTGTTCACGTGAGTATTTCTACGTTATACTTTATTTGGTCGTCATTCTATTTGCTCAGATTTTACATTTTCGTTTATGGAATAGATTGTAATTTTCATGAAAGATCATACAACTTAATCCGTATACGGATGGAATGGTATTTCGTTTAAACTTATGTATGACCTATTTCAGTACAAATCAGTCCTATGGGAAACTTTTACGATCGACAGGGATACGTTTGTGGTGTACGATAATGCCAATATCTATGTATATTTGCTGAACCGGAGCCAAATTGAAGGTAGATGATGTTGTCCATTATGTTTCGAGCATTAAAAAATTATAGTGAAGATCTGTAACTAGTATGCAACTCATTGCTACTCCTATCACTCAATATAGCGGCAGTGTAATTGCTTTGTGTAGAATTTTTCCCTGGAATTTGTTCATTTTGACTCAAGAAGATATGGCTGTTGACCGAATAGTGGTTATTGAAATACGTAGTGATCGAATTCGCGCAATTCATTTAATATGATTCAACCTTGGACTAACCTTTCTTGAAATAACGTACATTTTTTCAGGAGAATCCGTCGTCTATGTGGGAAGTACTAAACTACCATTTGCACATTCTCCATTGATGCTTAGCAAGGTGGGTGCATTATTTGGTACAGCGCTAATTTCTAGGCAAGTGCATTTTCTAATGAAACTGACACTTCATCCCAGTGCTCACGAAATCGGAGTTGTAAAAACAATGGAAAAAGCAACATTCCTACCTAAAAATTAAAGAATTTCTTTCAAGATCACGAATTTATCTGAATGACGATGCTTCAACAAACTTAAAGATGTTTTTCTCAAATCTAGGGCATTGTCCACTGCCTTACTGCTTCTGGCAAAACCAGCGGAGTGCTACTTGACAGTCATCGAACCGATACTGTCTTGGACGGAAAGCAACCAGCTGTGGTATGTCTACACCTTTATATACGCTTATAATATTACTTAACCGGGTAATCCACGTAGAAAATAAAGCAAATCCATTAGAATGAGTGGTGGTCCCAGAAAATGCCCTCCAAGGCGAGGAACAAAATTTTCATCTGAGAAATCTCTCATTTTGAAAGCTTCAACGTTGACCACCCCCCCCCCCCCCCACCTCAGAAAGTCTCTTTCAAGAGTGATCGAAATTGGCAGATGATGAAATTATTTTGTTCATTCATACCTAAAAATAAGTTATGAATTCCGCCAAAGACTCGATGTCAAAATTATCGTTGATCGATTTCTCCTCAGAGTCAAGTTTTGACGCGGTTTTTCATGGACATAAGAGAACAGAAGCTTTTAGATGTGATAATAAATAGTAGTTTTTCAGGTCCGAGAGCTATTAAAGCAAGCACTGCAGCTGAAACGGTAAGTTCTTTACAAATACTCCAAATTCACCTTGCGAATTTCATCTGAACCAAATAACAACAAATAGGCGGGAAGAAATTTATACATGACACGACAGAATCTATGCAAAATGAAAAATGGACTCTAAAGAACTAAAAAGCTACAAGAACAATTGTTGAAGAAGCCACAATTCGTGCTACAGCTCCATAATATCGTTATGCAATATTCTCACAACCAGTATGGAGGTAGAAAGAAGCGAAAAATTTCCTTGTGCAAATGCAATGACTTTTTTACCGGACTCATGACAGGGCACAATTCGGAGATAAAAGTTACCTACAAAACGAGGACAATTCTGGTATTTGGTGTTTGGGTCGTCGATGAAGGAGCTTTTCACATATCACTGTCCATGATATTTTTTACTGGTTGTCCTTGTCCGGGTTCATCGGGCCAGTAATTCAAAGGAGCTGGTGTGATGTGACTTGCGGCAGGAGGTGTCGTGACCGGCATCAGCGTAGGTGAAGCTGTTGGTTGTTGTGCTTAAAAGGAAGCAAATGACGTATGGAATGTCGAATTTGGCAATTTGTGTGTAATTGCACAAAACACACAGCATCCAAAAACACTAATTCAAAGCCTTTGTAAGAATACCTGCGAATTGAGCTTAGAGCATACATCTGAAGCGGTATTCATCAATCTCCCGACCTCTGATCGGGCGCTGTTTTACCCTTATATATTCCTGATCGGGCCATGAGCGTTTTCGTAACGATAAAACAGCGCCCGATTAGAGTTAAAAAAATAATACCACTTTCAGTCCGTAAAATAAATATCTCTTACTTCGCGGAGGTAAACTGTCCAATCTCATTGGAGGATCTGCATTTCGATACGAAGGAATTTGAGAATCTAGAAACAAGTTTGCTGTATATTTTTTTTAAATTGATTTATAACTTACTTTGATAACCCATTCCGTTGCCATATTGTGCTGTGTTGGTGTTGGTGTTTGACTGAAAAAAACCAATCATAGGCCGCATGGAAATTCGGATAACAAAACATTTTAGGCAACCACAGGTGCCTTGTTCTAATGCTGTACCTGTAGCAGTTACTGTACCAATTCATTAAAATCTAAAATAAAAATATTGAGATGTAGGTAAAGCGCTGATCAGCGTGGTCTGTATAGTACTGAATCTGCATATCAATAGAAGGGTACATATACCCTTTGAATGAACGATAGCGGCTGGAAGGCGGGGCTTTGTGACCTAATTAAAGCCGTTCGCGCCCGTGGCGCAGTCTGCGTCTTTCTTGCTGGCGTGCTCTCTGATCATACTCTAGCCTTAATTAGGTCACGGAGCCCCGCCTTCCAGCCCTCAATCCAGTTGAATCAAAGGGTACATACTAACACAAACTGGTTCTCAAATGATGCAGTTTCCCGGCAATGCACATTCGAACTGAGCAGAACATAAAACGCATAATTTATTCAGAAATTTGCTCGCAAAGAGTATGGAGGACCCCCCCCCCCCCTCCCCAGCCCCAACTAACTCAGAAGCTTGAGCAAAAAAGCGCGCCTGCAAAGCCTGAAACGCATTCCGGAAATTTTCCGGACCAGGCCCATTTACGCGCATTTTTCAGCGAACGCGTATATGTAGAGCTATGAAGAGTCTCGAAAAAAGCTCATTTTCGCCATTTTCATGCCCTAAAAAGCCCAAATATGAGTTAAGCATGGCGAGAAGGCCCCGGAAAGGTGAAAAATTGAAGACCAAAATTTTGCCGGGACACTGCCATTAAGGATGCGATCTTTTGCTCATTCAACCTTAGTGATTTTTGCCAAATTAGCACTACCGTGTATTTTGCTGTCAGACTCTTGAATGAAGTGTATTATATGATTAACCTATGGGATCGTCAGAGTTTACCGATGTTACCAGTGTTAACCGTGTTACTCGTGTTACTCGTGTTACCAGTGTTACTCGTGTTACCACTTACCAGTGTTACTCGTGTTACCGATGTTACCGGTGTTACTGGTGTTACTAGTGTTACTAGTGTTACTCGTGTTAAGTAATGCTGCGTTTTAAAATAAGAATGTATTGTTAGCATTTCATTATTCGACAGCGATAAAAGCAGTAACACTAGCAATAGCAGTAACACCAGTAACACTGGTAACACCGGTAACACGAGTAACGCTGACACTGGTAACACTGTTAACACGAGTAACACGGGTTAACATCGGTAAACTCTGACGGGTCCGTAGGAGATGACTAAAAAAACGTAAGGTTAGCTGTGACCTGTTCGGGACAACCGACCTGACAACCGCAACCATAGCATAACCTCAGTGAAAAATCAATAAATGACCCGAACAGGTTGGCGATCTAAGGATGCAGAGTCAAAAGCACGACCAAACTCTGAATTTCCCAATGCAGCTGCCTCTAAGAAAATCTTATGTGGATCTCGAGAGGTAACCAATCAAGGCTGATAAGTACCTGAGCTGGTTACCTTTGCCCTATCGCGCGCCGCGCGCGGTTACTGTAGCTTTGTGAAAATGAAGAGGACGCTTTAAAAGATAGACATTCCACGAGTTCATATATGTTAGGCAGACGCTTAGTTCATATGGACAGAGCTTCTAAATTTTTCCTCAGATGATTGTCAGGACTTCTGCATGATTTCGATTTTCAAGTTTTAGGAAAACGTCGACGGATTTCATATTTCACTCATTGCTAGCGGAAAACAGATTAATTCTTGCATTCTAGTCATTCCTCACACTCATCTAATATTCCAATCATAACCAGCACAACTTCAAGGTTCCAAACTTCGCTCAGATATGTTCAAAAGCGAAGTTGGAACTGTCGATAAAAGTATTGATAGATACATTTATGCATACCCTTTCATCGAACATCATACGTAAAATATAGGAGGAAAGTAGAAGGGGGGGATGACGAGCGAGGATGGGGAATAACGCATCTTAAATCATATAATTCTGTTCTGCCGCCCTTGTGCCCTGCTAACGGATGCCGAAGTCGTCGTTTTGGGAGACTTTTGGTATACCAAAATAGTTTCAAAGATAAGTTTACCGCGTGCTAACTAGGAGGAACATTTGAGAATTTTGATGATAGAATGGTCAACACTTTTAAATATCATGACTTATAATAACGGGCTAAGGATGTTTACGTGACTTTGTGTGTGTGTGTGTCTGTCTGTTACGAAATTCGTGGAGCGTGTTCCATCCAACGTTCTAAGCCCAAATTTTGTATAGCGCATGCTACCTTCGTGAAAGTCCAACATGCAAAAGCACGAGTAGATTCGTTGAGTGGATCCCTCAGAATTTGCGCGCCAAACGGGTCCACCTGGCTTCTGTACCGCAAAAGTCGGTCCGTATCACCACTTTTTGCAGAGTCGTGGATGAGTTTGGTAAGCAAATGTGCAAGCGATGGAGTTTAGCCAGAAAAGTGTTTGAAAGTTTACTACATAACGAAAACGGCGCCATAACGAATTGGTTGTGTAAATGGTCAATTTGCCAAGGTTCTAGCTAAGCGTTTGAGAAGATTTTCGCACAGAGATGTAGCTCACGGTTATCGTTACCTTTATGGCGACTACCAAGTCATGACAAACCCAAAAACCTATTCAAATTTGCGTTTGTCTTCCTGCGAAAAGTTTCATTCACTCGAAATCACCGATCTCACGTGAAAAGATTTTATAAATGAGTGGTTGTTTACATTTTATTCGTGGTAGTCGGCATAGTGCGGTGAGTTCCACTGCCACGATTTTACGAGAATGAATAAGGCACATAGATAGTAGAGCCAGTGCGAACCTCTGCGAAGCAGAGGTGACGCACTGGTCCACTATAATATTGTAAGGTTCGGGAAAATATGCGAGTTCTGTCTTTTGTTACCTTCCAAACCGAACCTCAACCTTGAACATCATGATCATTATTAACTAGATTTATCAAACTGAACCGGCTCAGTACAAAGCATTAGATAAGGGAAAGCATGACCACAAGCCAATAAACAGTAAGCAGTAGCATGGCTAGGCAATGCAAAGAGCTGAAAACTCAGGAGCGAGCTGCATTCCTCAGCTCCAGCCGCAGCCCAGCATGGGGCGGGGTGACTGAACGTCCGAGACCCTGCGCCCTTCTATTTATACCCGCTCGTTGGAGAACGACGAAAAAGAACACATGACTAGTAAGTGCATTAAATGTGAGATATGGTGCATAGCCTGCACAATATGCTTTCTACGCAAATTTCATCCTGACTCACACTGAGTTTGCTAATGGATAATATGTCTGCAAACTTCAGTAAATAAAACCCCAGTTTGATTGCCTGCTTATAAAAAGGCTCAGAAGTCTCAAACAATATAACACATTCATTGGCATGTTGGAGTTTTCACTTTAGTAAAAATCTTCACTGACTACCTGATAGTCTGGTGGATTTGGATACATGGCTGCTCTTAGTTGTGCTTGAGCACGTCGTCGCATAATGAAGACAATCAATATCGCTCCAAGAATGAGGCCCTAAAAATTTGGATTTTTTAAAGTATCCTTTTGAAGTGTACGAGCCGCGCCTTCATTACTTCGAACGCTGGGAGGTCCCGCGTAAAACCTTACTTAGAGCTAGCAGCTAATAGGTGTGCGAACAAGCGACCGCTGCGCGAAGGCGAATGCAGGGCGGCAGGCCTTTGTCTGCTCGCCTTCAAAGCGAGGAAGGAGCGGCTTGTACACGTGAAAAAAGTGTAAAAATCAGAATTTTCTACTTGACTTACCTCCAACACAGCGAAAACGACTGCAGCGGTGTTTTTGTTGACTTCCTGTACTACTCCGGTTTGGAATTGTATGTAGTTAACGGTGACAGTCACTTTGCTTGGTGTGGCTTCTAATTTCGCGGGAGGACCCGCTGCTTCGTTGGTCTGTACCGTTGTCTGATGTGCTTCAGTAGTTGCTACCGTTGTTAAATGTGCTACAGTAGTAGGTGGATGTGCAGTAGTAACTCTAGACAAATAGAAAAAATCGATTGGAGTCAATCGCTTGAAGAGTCAAAGCAAATTTAGAAGTTTTCCTTTTATGTACAGATCTCCAAGCTGTTGAAACAATAGATTCGTTTTTTTGGCTTTAATTGACGAAGAGGACTAAAAAGTTAGAATAAAACAAAGCTTACTTAGTAGAATTTGGTGGAATGGAAGTTGTAACAGGTTGAGCTGCAATGAAGTAATCATTGGATTCATTTTGGTTTATGTTCTTGCTTTACCCTTTAATTCAACTGGCTTGGCAGTTGGAAGGCGAGGCTTTGTGACCTAATTAAGGCTGGATAATGATCAGAGAGTACGCGCGCGAAAGAGACGCAGATTGCGTAACGGGCGCGAGCGGTCTAAAGTAGGTTACGAAATCCCGCCTTCCAGTCGCCAAAGGCAGTTGAATCAAAGGTTATCTTGCCCTAAACAAATTGAATTCGATTATGAGAGCTTCATTCTTGTGATTTTTTGATATACAACAGCTTTTCCCTTTAATTTGGAATAAGAAATGTAAGGAATCTTTATCAACGCTTATTTCAAGAGCAATAAATTAGTCATCATTACCAGATTTTTGCGCTTTTCTTTGAAGTTTCTGAACAAATGAGGCGTGCGCGACCTGCATTGAAACTTGTTTGTGAAAAAACAACAAAGTTTCCAGAGAAATCTAATATATAAAAAATCGCTAGCTCAATCTAAAAATCTTCGAATAGCGGGAAACCGCGCTGTGCGGTCCCAAAGCGCGCGGATCTAGCCCCTTTGATTACTGGTTCACTAATCATTAGCACAAAGCCTTTCAACAATCTCCATTTATAGCTGTTCAGCTGAAGCTTAGCAATGTGCAAGCAAAGCTTGTTGAAATTTCATTTTCAAGATTTGATCTCCTGCACTCATATCCAAAATTTTTCTTAGCTTCATTTAGATTTTGCAAAATAATGCCTTAAGCAGCGGCTCGGCAGAATTTCGTTTTCCAGATTTTTACCTCTTCCGGGCCTTTTCGTCATGAGAAACCTTATCTGGACTTTTCAGCGCATGAAAATGGCAAAAATGAGCTTCTTTAAAGCATTCCAAATTCGAATTCAGTGAAGATACGCCGGAAGAAGCCGCGCCCGCCATCCCCGTTCCACGCCCCGCCCACTTTTCCAGTGAATGCGGACCTAGAAAGCTTCAAAAAGTTCATTTTCGCCATTTTTATGTGCTGAAAAGCCCAGATATGGGTTTCTCATGGCGAAAAAGCCCCGAAAAGGTGGAAATCTAGAAAACGAAATTCTGCCGACCTTTAAAGGCAGCGGCTCGGCAGGATGACAACTTTGGGACATATATTGCTCTCGGTTGCCCTAGACGAGCTAAGTCCAAGACTGTGCTTTGCAGCTTCAAAAGATATCAATAACCCGCTTTTCCAGACGTGAAAAGCGCTTTTTGAAGGCGGACCGCGTATCTGCCTTCTAGAGCGCGATTGGCTCGTGAGAGAAGTTACTGTACCCACCGTACCCACGAGCCAATCGCGCTCGAGGACAGGCATACGCCGTCCGCCCAAATAGCACTGTTCAGGTCTGGAAAAGCGGGTTATTGATAACTTTTGAAGCTGCAAAGCACAGTCTTGGACTTAGCTCGTCCAGGGCAACCGAGAGCAACACATATCCCAAAGTTGTCATCCTGCCGAGCTGCTGCCTTTAATCGTGCGCAATCTTGCTTCCACAACGTTTTCAAATCATAAGAAAATCCTGATTAGCTGTAATGTCACTATGGTAGTATGAAAGCCTTCGAGTGGGTGGAGGACTATATGCCGCCGAATTTGGAAGAGTCCCGCGCGGATTCCCTGCAGGAACGCATGTCCGCGCATGTACAAGGGTGCGTATTTGTCGCAGATGACCGCGGGGACCGCCCTTTTTCGGCGAAATGTAGGCCTCTACCCCCTTCGAGTCTCAAAAAGCTTCTATGCGTATATAATACGAACAAAAATGTGTCAAACTGCCATTAGACGCATCATTCATCAAAAATCACTGCCAAAAATTGAAGACCCAGTTTCAAAAAATTCTTCATTGCTTACCTGTGGGAGTGAAATCAATCTGCATTGTCGCTGATTGCTGTTCCTCCATGTGATCATTAACTTCCATTGTAGAAGTTAAGTTTCCAACTGCGGTTACGATAAGCCATGTGATTGCGGCGGTCCCTTCCCTAGTAAGGGGTTTCGCCTGTAATTTTGACTGTTTAATTTGGATCAATTGATTTGGAAAGGGGAAGTCTCTTTAGCTTGAAATTTATCAATTAAGCACGTATATCGGAAAAAACCTTTATCTACAAAAATTTCACTGCGTAGAAACATTTGGTGACTTGATTGGAGCATAAAGTTGTAAAAAAAGAGCAAAATTGAAAAAAATAGAATATTTATGTATTTACCTGTATGCCTATCGACATTCCTTTGGCAGCATCTTTGATGTCACCCGTACACAGAAATGGTGCGGTACCGGATTCAATCTGAAAGTTTTAAAATATACCCTTTTAACCAATTTTTTCTGTGATTCTTTGAACATAAAATTTTTGATGTTTGAATTTTCAAATTGCAATTTTCTTAATAAAAGATTATAATCAGCTTACGTAAACTTGCTGAACAGCTGGGCAGGTAATGCCAGGATCGCCTGTAGTCTTCAAATTGAACGATTCTATCAAAGCAAGTGTCTTGGTATCGGCGTTGACCAAAATAGGAAGTACTAACAGCAGCAACATAGTTCAGGTCAATCGATATATTGATTTTCTGAAATGTTTTAATGGGCATACGTTTTGACATGTTAAACAACCAGTTGCGGCAAAAACTCGAACACAAAAATTGAAAATAAAATTAAATGAAGATAAAAGTGATCTTCGGCTATCTTCTTAACCCACTGACGACGATGTGGACCATCGGTGGCCCACGCACTTTTTGTCGCCAGGGACGATGTGGATCGGTGGGCCATACCTCTTGCAAAGTCATATTACTTGTAGGTCTAGTATTTTTATACCAATATTTTCCCAATTTTTTTTGCCTCTTGGCGTCTCTAGGCTCCGTCGTTCAAGAAAATGTTCATGATTGTTAACAAAACAACATTGCATTTGGTAAATAACCACAAAACCTTCCCGCATCCAAAGTGTTGTGCAAAATCGCGTCGTCCCACAGCGCCGCCACGCAAAATTAGGCGTCGTCGTCAATGAATTAAACAATGAAGCTCACATGTGTAAGGTAGAAAGAGAACTGAAGGAAAGCAACTGCAGTATATTTAACAAATAAAAACTTACAAGAGCTGTGAAAATTCTTGAATTTAGTATTTATCTAAGTTTTTGAATTTTTTTCAGATGGATGTATGCTTGGCGAATCTGTGATTACACGAGAGATCTTGTCGATTGGAATACATTCGCTCAAGCAGCGCTACTAAATGCGGATGCAGATCTTGGTAAGGGTTTAACATTTCTGAGTTTGAGGCGATTTCTGAGGGATTCTTTCTAGAAAAAATCAGTAAAATTAGTCTACTATGGATTTCTTCATTGTAGTACAGCTTTCGAAAAAAGTCGTCATACCGGTAAGAAATATAGATTTTTGAGAATTAAACAAGCCCAGTAGATTCGTCAGTATTCAAAAGTGAGGTTGAACTGTAAAAAACTCGATCGAAAAGTTTCGTCAACAATTTTGGAAACAGAGGAAAAGTGAATCAATATCTTCTTTAGTTACCTTAAATGAGAAAGTAGGGAAATGTAAGGACTCTGACTTGTAGGGAAATGTAAGGACTCCAACTTATCAGAACATTAATAATAAAAAGTGTTTAAGAAGTTTTTTGCACTGCATTCGCGGAAAAGGCATTTATTCTTCAGGCAATAAATTCTTGACTATTGATGTATAGAGGAAGATGTAAAGTTTTTGTGGAGCTCTCAAAAATTCTTTCTTCTTTCTGAGTCATATAACTACATATGATTGGCAAACTTTTTCAAGGCGACGCGAAAAGTGATAAGACTACAAAATAAAAAGATTGCTGGGATTTTCAAAGTTTGCAAAATTTTTTGCTGTGCTTTCTTGAACAGTAGTTTTCGCACCAATATCATTCTTTGTGGCTTAGATGTGATTTTTATCGATTTATGGGTAAAAAATGAGGTATAAGGGACTTCCAGACCTAGTTACAATAAAAGTTGTGTAGGTGAAAAGAAGCAAAGAGTTTGCCTAGAACATTTTCTGATAAATTGACGTTATCGCAGTCTAGCATCGATTAATCTTCTCACAAACATAAATAAGTCGATATGGAAACATAAAAAGTCGAAAATAGCCACATTTTTGAGAGTGATAAACGCGGTGGGAGGAATGTGGTACACGTAGAGCAGCGTGCGAGAATGATAACGTTCAGTGCTTCATATTGGGCAACGCAAAGTACGATTATCGATCGATCGAAGTGCTTTGAATTTGCCTATTCATGGATATTGAATTCGTAAATACAGACAATGAACTCGCTGACATGATGATACAGCTGATTCTCGACTCCTAGTTTGATTATTCAGTTGACAAATCGATGTCGATGGGGTTTTCCAGAAATGGGCGAAATTTTGTCCCATAGTTTTTTCACCATAAATTAAAGCGAAGAATTCTAAACGTATCGTAAATTTTCCAGAAGAACAATAAGCACAAGAAGATGTTAGGCAATCGAAGAAAGTTACGTCACTCGTTTTCCGTTTGATAAGGAATGAGCACTCGTTCAATGAATAAGCGCTTTTGGTTTCTTATTCATAAATGTTTGCCCAAAACTGCGCTAAGTGCAATACTTGCTTCAAAGCATTTTTGTGCGATATAGATTTTTCCACTGTTCAGTTCGAAGTTCAAAAGAAAACTCCTTTTTTTACGTCAGCTGAAAAAATTATCAGTGCTTATCACTAAGCCTATAGTTCCGTGATTGAAATTTTTCCGAATTTTGCATGCATATCATAGCATTTCTACATTTCCATATTTTGCATACTTTTCGAACACAAATTTGTGGGCAACTATGGCTTTAATAAATCGTGCTCGAATTTGCAAAATATGCACCTAAAATCTGGTCGTGCATAGAGGATTAAAGATTGTGCAAACTCTGATTATACAGAAACTAAACTTTTCCCGAATAAAAAGACTGCGTGCACATATGATTACGCACAAATGTTCCTTTTTGTATGGCTTAGAAACACAAAATGGATTCTCCTGCCTTTGAAACTTTTCAATTCCATCCTTGCAAGGGAAGGATACTTGGTGAAGTGACACAGACATTTCATACAAAATGTACGCCATCTTATAGAGCATGGAACGCAGATTTCAAACCTGCTTTCAATATCTGCAAAGCCCTTCTAGGAGGGGTGTTATGAAAAATCTTCAATGCAAAAATTCGAAAGCGCCGTTATCATAAAATCATCCAGAGCTCTAGTCCATAGACTCAAATGGGGCCTTTATTACTACCAAGGCGTCATTAAATATGTATCTAAAAAAGTTCCCACTCCCCTTCCAGAAAAGCTTTGCAGATGGGAAAAGCAGATTCGGAATCAGCGTTCTATGCTCTATAAGGAAGTATACATTCCATATGAAAACGCCACCTCGAAATATCCTTCCCTTGTTAGATCTGATTACATGAGAGAATTTTTACCCACATAAAAAATCATTCATTTTTTTGCATCGGCTTTTGAAGTTACAAATTAATCCTTCAAAACACATGCAAGGAAGTCCAAAGGAAGACAATTACTTGGATTTTATATTGTAAGTTGCATATGATTATCGTTAAAATACGATTTTCACAAAAAGTTGCGATTTTCCTCATACCATATGCATTCTGTAGTCTTATCGCATACAAGGCTGTAACGGACTTAAAGACACTGTCCAGGTCAGCTGGAGGGGGGGGGGGGGGCGATATTGCGATCTTAACACATTGTGAGAGCACGGCTCGTGAATAACGCAAAAGTCGAAGTCCGATCGAAAAAGGTGGAATCTGAAGCGAGAAAATTGCCCCGGAAAAAAGGGGCGGTACTCCAGTCCCGCCCCCTTGACAAGTTTTGACGTGGCGAATACTCTAGATCTACTGAATTGGCCACGTCAAAACTTGTCAAGGGGGCGGAATTGGAGTACCGCCCCTTTTTTCCAAAGCAATTTTCTTGCTTCAGATTTCACCTTTTTCGATCGGACTTGAATTGTTGCGTTAATCAGAAGCCGTGCTCTCACAATGTGTCAAGATCGCAATATCACCAGTTGACCTGGGCAATGGCTTTAAATTGAGAACAGAAATTCGACAATTGAATGAGACATACTTCTGCATACATTTAAAAATTCTTTCAAAGCAATATCCTTTTGAACAAATCCACTGATAGAATATATGACGAAAAAATACATGTCTGCGAAAGGTAAAAATAAAAACACCATGGCTGTGAAGTTTGAAACTATATTGTTCTGACAATTTTCGTCAATTTTTTTGCCAAGGCAACTTGAAACGTGCAATCTAGTCGTTCCTGTCAGCACAATCATCTTGTATATGAAAAACAATGCGATTCAAAATGCATGAGACAAATTTGCAGAACACTAATACATCGGTAAGATTTCCTTTTCAGCTCTTCGAATTTTCCGCCACATTGGTGATGTGTCCATGGGATTGGCCTTGGAGGCGATTGTGGCCATCGAAGAGAAAACTCTACTGGCCGCACATGTCGCCATGCTTCTTGGAAGATACGATCAGGCTGAACAATTGTTTTTGAAAAGTTCACAGCCAAAGGAAGCGCTGGCTGTGAGTTTAGGCGCATATAGGTCCTTCGGTACACAACTACCGTTCTGTACAAAAAACAGACCAAAAATTCGATTTCGTTTTGTCCCTAAGCTGAAATAATTGCTGAAATCGCTGTAACTGGTAAATTTTTAGCCTACAACAAGCAAGTAGTGCTCTAAAAACGAAGTCCAAAGGAACATCCTTTTTCAGATGCGTCGTGATCTCCTGGACTGGTCGAAAGCATTGGCGTTAGCTGAACAGTTAGCACCTAAAGAAATTCCCTACATATCTCGAGAATATGCACAACAGCTAGAATTTATGTGAGCACATTTTTTTCGAGTTTTTACTTGATTTTTGAAATTCTGGGAACCCTTATAGGGGAGACTACCCCGCTGCTCTTGCACATTACGAAAATGGAGTGATCGAAGACTATGAAGAAGAAACTGAGCAGGTAGATTGTCCTGAATGTTATAATAGTGCGGAAATCCCTTTTCTCCAGTTTTTGTTTGCCTTAGGGCCAGGAATTGTGATGACAAAGAAAGTAAAGCGTTTTCACCTTAACTCAAAAAATGGTACTCATCTTTTCTTAAGATTCTAAATTTTAGAAAAAATTCATTCAAGGAAACTCCTTTATCCATATTTTTCAACTTTCACAGATCCTCGAACACAATGAAGTTTGTCGATCTGGACTTGCGCGAATGAATATACGAACTGGCGATTTGAGAAAGTGAGTTCTCTGAATTTTTTTATGCATGTTTTGGATGCATTTTTACGCTTCAATGTTTTAATTCTACAAAAGCTGTTAGTGAAATTCTGATCGTGTTCCAGAGGTATCCAGCTGGCTCGTGATCTTCATGGCCGAGTTGTAAAACGAGATTGCGCGCTTATTTTGGAGCAGATAAAGGTGAGAATTTAAATTTTTGAGCCATCCCCAAATGTAACTTCAAAGGAGCGTGACATGCGGCGATGCCAACAATTTTGTGTCGAAAGTGACCCTCTTGAATAGCTCGGCCCCTCTTCTGCAACTTCCGTAATAAAAATCGTAATTTTCATCCTTAACCTTGTTATTGCTTTCAGCAATACGGTGAAGCAGCTGATCTATACGAGCTTGGACAATTTTATGACAGAGCGGCCGCTGTATGTCTAAAGGCGAAGGCTTGGTAAGTTTATGCAGTCAAATAACCTGCCACAGTTACGGTATCCGGTAACTTTCCAGGGGTAAGGTGGGAGAACTCCTGCCAAAAGTTCGCTCTCCAAAAATCCATGCTCAATACGGCAAAATTATGGAAGCTGAGAAGCGATATAAGGAAGCAGCTGTGGTCAGTGTCATCACTTACTTTTGGAGTTCAGATAAAATTTTGTTGGATGAATGCAACGGGATATCCAAAAAAATTATTGGATTGTAAACCATCCTCGTAAGCTCATCTGAGTTAACGAGACGAGCTCTTTTTCGAAAACGAGATTTACCAACCATGCCATTTGAAAGGGGGGGGGAGGGTATTTTATTTTATCCAAAGGGATTTGATCTTGCATTTTTTGGGCGTCAGATACCTATATTAGAATAGATTTGAGGGTTTTTGCAAATGAAATAAGACGAATGAGAAACCCAATACATCAAATATTCTTTACTGCTCTCTTTCACCACGAAATTTTATGGCCTGAGTACTGGATATTTTCTATGTTTTATTATCGTTTGTATGGATAAAATTTTATCTTCTTATTGACTTTCTCGAAGAAATTTTTGAAATTTTCAAAACTGTGTTGTGAAATTTTTGGTTTATTTTTTTTCAATTTACCGTCGTCATAGAATGTATTTTAAAAATTGTTTTGGGTATTTGTATTTGATGGTTCAAACTTTTGTCTTCCTGCAGGCTTATCGTAATGCACGTGACTACGACAATCTCGTCCGTATGTTGCTAGATCACTTGAATATGGCCGAAGAAGCGGTAAAAGTCGTCCGAGAGAGCAGAAGTGTGGAGGGAGCTAAACTTGTGGCAAAGTAAGCTTTACTTCCACTTTGTATGCCAAATATTTTACGAATTTACTTCTAGGTTCTTTTCCCAACTGGGTGATCATGCATCTGCCATACGTTTCTTGGTCCTGAGCAATTGCCAGCAAGTAGGTTCCCATTTTGGGACTTCCTTTCTGCTTGAAAAGGAATTTTCAGGAGGCCTTCCAACTCGCCGAGTCAACGGATCATATTGCTGATTATGCTGACTCAATTGAAGCGGATGGTGCTAGCCAGGACCAAATGGCCCATCTAGCTGAGTATTTCGCCAATTCAAGCGATAATCACAATGCTGGAAGATTCTACTTGAGAGCTGGTCACTATAGGGCGGTTCGTGCTTTTATCCCTTTTTTAGGGTACCCATTAAGGGAAAAATAGGCTTGGGCTTTTCCAGGCTTTGGAATACCTTATGGCATGTGGAGAAAATCACGAATCGTTAGTACTTGCTATTGAAGCGGTGGCAGCAGCTGGTGATGAAAAGCTAACAGCGAGATTGACGGACTATCTTATGGGCGAAGTGGATGGGATACCAAAGGTACAGACGTTCAAATTTGAGCGAGAAAAATAAGCAAGAAATTCTTGGCAGGATGCCAAGTATCTCTTTCGACTGTATGTAGCGCTTGGTATGACTAGAGAAGCAGCCACTACAGCTGTGGTGATAGCACGGCAAGAACAAGAGCATGGATCATATACGGTAGCAAGAAATGTGCTATTAGCAATGTACCAGGTATTGATCTTTCACTTCAAAGTAATCTAAGATGGGGGGGGGGAGGGGAAAGATTAATGCGAATTTCTGAAACTAACCTGCATATTAGCAGTTGTTAATAATTGCAACAATTCTGAACATCTTTCAGAAGTTCAAACTAGCTTTGTGAAAGAAATTTTTTTCGGGCGTATCCGCCATAGCCCTCTTTTATAAAAATCTTTGGGTTATATGCCTCTCAATTCTAAAAAAGATCTCCCAAAATTCTTCCAGAAAGCCTCCCAGATTTTTAGTGCATAGCTGACACTGCGCCCCTTCAGTGGAAGAAATTTCTTCACCTTCCCCCAGCCCTCCCCTAAAATGGCTATTGATTTGTACATGAAAATCTTATCATGCCTACATTATTGCTAAGGAAAACAAATTCTGCTGCAGGAACTCGTCGCGAAGGAAATTAAAGTGCCTAATGAAATGCAGAACAGTCTAATGATCATTCACTCCTACCTTATCGTCAAGGTCAGTCCATTTTTGTTACATATAAAATGGGGGTCCTATAGCACAGATAATGCAAGATGCACAGTTCATCGGCTCTATCATCGTTACTCTATCTCAACGCTAATTGATCTTTCAGAGTCTTCTTCGACGGAATGAGACGCTCAAAGCTGCCAGAATGTTAATACGAGTGATGGGCAACATTAGCAGGTTTCCTGCACGTAAGTGCCTAAAGTTACCTTATTCGAGAAAATTTGGAGTCAAAAATGTCGTTATAGATGTGGTGCCAATTTTGACATCAACGGTGGTCGTGTGTTCGAAGGCCGGATTGAAAGCGGCAGCTCATCGTGCAGCTGTCACGCTTATGCAGCCAGAATATCGCCAAAAGATCGATGCCAAGTATAAGAAGAAAATCGAGGTGTTTGTTAGGTAAGTAGCCTCTTTCATTATCTTGATGGTCCTTAAAATTTTTTAATTTTAGGCACTCAGACAGAGGCGAAGATCCTGAAGAAGCACGACTTCCATGTCCGCATTGCGCATATCCGGTACCAGAGACTATACTTGCATGCGATAATTGCAAGTCAACCATACCTTACTGTATAGTTACGGTATGTTCACTCATTTATCTTCCAAGTACTCAGCTGAAAAACAAGTATCCAGGGTCGCCACATAGTTGATTCGGATTTTGCTCAGTGCCCATCATGCAATTTTCCTGGATTTTTCTCAGAAATGAAGAAGTAGGTCACAATAAATTTCTCTTTTTTTTGCAGTTCGGCTGCATTATGAACTATCACTTTACCTAGATAGGTTTCCCAGGACATCTATGCTTAATATTTTTTCAGATTGCTTGCTCTCAACGAAATGTGTCCCATGTGTTCGTCACCGCTCAATGATACGATACCAGGCGATTGCGCAGCATTTCTCCATAAAGATAGACAAACCGTGGAACAAACGTCTATAAAGCCTTCGTAATTAACGATCTGTAAACAAGTAAACAAGTGGAGTCAGATCTTTCTTCATATTAATCACAGTAAAAACTCTTAGGCCCATATGCACGTACATCCCCGCGGGGAGGGGATGTGCGTTTTAGGCCCGTATGCACGTACATCCCCGTTGGGGAGGGGAGGGGAACTGGATCTCCAGGGGAACGATCCCCTCCACTGAACCCCGCTATGACAGAGGGGAGGGGAGCGATCCCTCCCCCTGCACTTATAGCGGAGATGGTGTGCTTGAGGTAGTCGCTTCTACTTCACGGCTACTACAAGAACTCACCGAAAAAGTTATTTTTGGTCAATTCTTGTGCGTGCTAGAATGGCCTTTGAAACGAAATGTGCAAAAATAGTATTCGCGTGCATTTGTCCCTTTCTCCTTCTCCTTCCACCCTTCCCATTCATCTCTCCCTCCTCCGCTCTTTTGTTCTCCGTATTATTACTATTCTAAAGCTACTAGCTACGCGCTGTCAATAGTAATAATGTTAATTTTTGAAGTACGGTGTGTCTATTTCGCAGTTCGTGGCTTTGATTTTCTTGCAATTATGTTGTGGCGATGTGCTTCGCAGCATTTTGTAGTTTCCCTGGTTTCCAGCGTTTGAGAGTTCGCGGTACTGTTTCGCTGCCTTAGATTTAGCATTTAGTTTTGGAGGTATTAATCGAAGGAACCCAGTGGGGATCCCTTCCCTTCCCTTCCCCGTATGCACGAATGTAACTCAACAACGCAGGGGAGGAAATCGACATCCCCTACAGCGAAGTAAGGGTTTAACGGTGTAAGTCATGCCAGAGAAGCGAATATTCTGCTTCTAATCAGTTATTACAAAGCATTTCGTTTAAATTGATGAAAAATTTTCTTTTGAAGTTGGGTTCCTCTCCCAGTGACTTGTAGCTTGCAATTTTATCTCTCTCTTCTACTTTCGCCTCGCGAAGAGATTCGAGCAATTTTCTGCCAATTTCGAACGTCTGGAGGAGTTTTTGGTCATTTCCGAGATCTTCGCAGTTTCCATATGACAAGATAGTTTTATCCATGTAGGCTACTCGAACACATTGTAACTATGATATCATATGTTATGTTGCCCTTATCTTCTTATCCCAACATCAATTGTTTCGAAAAAACCAAAAAATTAGCAGATTGGCCTATTTCTGAATAGAGATTTCCGGGGAGTGATCCCCTCCCCAGTGTTCCCCCCGTGCATAGCAGGGATGACCGCTGGGGATCATTCCCTTGAGGTAACGGACGATATATCGTGATAGCTGCAGCCTTTATGGAGAGCTGGTACGATTTGCAGCTTCTGTTATGTGTTGGAATATTGCTTTGAATGTCCGCGCCGCACTCCCCCCCCCCTTTTCGGCAGCATAACGTCTTCTACCGATTCCCGTGCAGAGCACCTTGACTTCTATAATTCAACAATTTTACGCTGAAAATGGGGCAGCATGAGCGAAAGTAGGCAGCATTCAAGAAAGCAGGAACATCGTGGGAGTAGAAAAAAAATCATTTTTGGTGCGCAGAGCACAGTCAATTCGAATAAACTCCGTATTCAAATTATTCGACTTTGTTGCAGCAAAACTCGGTAGCAGCTCTTGCAACCGTTATGACCTTTGAACTGTAGGGAGGGTCGCAATCTTCCGATTGCTTGACAGTAAGAAATCATATATGGATTTTAATTGAAGCTTTTTCGACCAATGAGATTGTTCGTACTGCTATTGGCATTAAATCAGCAAAGAAGCTATCAAATTCATGGTCATATTCCGACTTCATATATTGAAAGAGTTTTGAAATGCCTGTTTTTCTTTCTTTGGATTTCTCATGCTTATGGTACGCAAAGCCCACCTAGTGAGCACTCTTGCTCGCATAAGTTATATTGCACAACTGCCTCTATTCGCTACCTTAGAGGTTTTTTTGCGAATTGGTGTATTTTGAGTAAAGGACATCGCAATTGTAGTGGAGGATTAGACGGTTCAGATCGCCGTACGCGATTTGCCAGTTACGAGATGTCTTCAAATGTAACGCCAGCTTACCACAAATGTTTAGCGTGTACAACTTACTAAAAAGATAAATGCCGTACATTCTGTTCTTTTAGAATAAGTTTTGGACATGACTATTGCCAAACCACGTCGCCACTGAAATGCCTGCAGTATGCCCAGGGCTAGGGACAATCGTGCTCGCTTCGCGGGATAAACCACATGCCTTCGTTCACGATTAGCTCATGCCACAAAAGACGAAAGTCTCCGATGAACAGGCAGTGTATCGTAGCATTTGTGGCATTTAAGTACATATGTGTTGTTGCGGGGCTAGGAGTTGGTACAAAGGGGTTAGTGAGGGTGCTGATTATGGATAAAAATTTACTTTATCGAATTTATCGATTTTTGGAGAAGTCTTACTGCGGGACTGGGAGTTGGTACAAGGGGGGGTAAGTGAGGGTGCTGATTATGAATGGATCGGCTTCAGCCAGATACGTCAGCAAGTTTGAGATATGGTTGCTCTAGTTATTCGATAAATCATTCGAATATTTATTCGAAATTCGGCTCCCGAATGTTCGAATATAATCGATATTCATTCATTCGATATTTTTGAATTTCCGAATTCATTCGGAATTAATTCATTCAAAAATTTTTAAATCTCGAATTTATTCGATATTCGTTTATTCGAGATTTTTTATTTTCGAATTTATTCGATATTCGTTTATTCGAAATTTTTCCATTTCGAATCTATTCGATATTCATTCATTCGGTGGAAAACTTTCGAATTACCCAAGTATACTATGCAGTAATGTCGGGGAAGAACTCCTCTGGGAATCTCTATTCAGAAATTGGCAAATCTGCCAATTTTTGGGTATTTCACAGCCACCTATGTTATAAGAACAGGATAAAGAGAGCATATCACGTAATGTGGTAGTTACAATGTGCTAAATCAGTCTATATGAACAAAACTATCACGCTACACGAAAAATGCGCAAAACTTGTGAATGATCAGAAACTCCTACAGACATTCGAAATTAGCAGATATATGCGCATGTTTCTTGGCGAGAAGCGAATACAGAAGAGATAAACAAAATTGCGAGCTACAGGCCGCTTAGAGAGAAATCCGGCTTCTCAAAAAAATCTTTTATCAAACTGAACAAAATGCTTTATAATAACTGATTGAAACCAGAATATTCGCTTCTCTGGCATGATTTACACCGTCGAACCCCTAGTAAAAAACACTTTTTGACATTTCAAGCACAGTACCTGACTCAGCTGATCCAGAAGGCCATGTTATTGTGAAAAGCCCCCAGTCGCGAGTTTAGACATTTGCAGTATAGCTGGGTAAATTTAAATTATTTCATTGAATGAATGAATATCGAGTAAATTCGAAAATGAAAAATCTCGAATAAACGAGTATCGAATGCTTTAGAGTTTCAAAAATTTTCGAATGAATGAATGCCGAATAAAATCGGAAAACTAAAAATGTCGAATGAATGAATATCGAATACATTCGGATTTGGGAGTCGAATTTCGAACAAATATTCGAATGATTTATCGAATGACTGCGCAACCAGATCTAAAACTTGCTGACATATTCGGATAAAGCTGATCCATTTACAATGAGCACCCTCGTATCCCCTATACCCACTCCTAGCTTAGGATTTTCCAAGAATCGGTAAAATCAATAAAATAGATTTTATTTTTAATCAGCACCCTCATTTACTCTCTGTACCAACTCCCAGCCTCTTGTTAGCTCAAGATCTAAAAATCGATAGAAGCATCAAAGTATATGTTTATTTATAATCAGCACCCTCATTTACCCCCTGTACCAAACTTCCAGCCTCGTAGATCAAAATTTTCCAAATAACCAATAAAATCGACAAAATAAAGTTTTAATCATAATCAGCCCTCCCTTACCCCCCCCCCCTTCCCTGTGCCAACTCCCGCCACTCAGATAATACCCGGGGGTAGGCGGCCATGCGATTTATGGGCGGGCACCGGAAAAATAGTTCGCTAATTTCTTGCGGCCCGCTTGCAGATATTTGGAACAATTTTAGCGAAATTTTAGGCGAATGCTTGGAGAACAATCGCGGTTTCTTTATAGATTAGCTGCGGCGCAGTGGCCGCATTCTCGCGGACTTTCCGCGAGAATATGCAAGAATTTGAGGGCCGCACGGTCCTTTGTGGAGGACCGCGCAGCCTCCAGGTACTTTCCGCTGAGAGAAAGTACCTCAAACTTGAGTAATTAAACCATCGGTGACACCTCTGCCACGTAGAGTCTTGCTCGGCGTACGCCCGAAACTGCTTGAAATCCGTCCGAGCGCCGGCTGAAAATTTGGACAGCGCTCGCTGAAAAAAATCATTTGACGAGCGCCTGCAGAATATCCTGTATTACTGCCCGCTTACAGAACATGCGGCAGTAAAGGAAGTACCGCTCAGACAATCGCCGGGGGCAGGCGGGCACCGGAAAAATAGATTGCTGATTTCTCGCACCCCGCTCGCGGATTTTTTGCAAAGCAATCAGGACTTTTCGGAAGACCGCTTGCGGAGTTGTCGATTCCTCAGAGATTCAGCAATATATCAGCAAAAGATAAGAGCGAAAAAAATTCAACAGGCGGTCTCTCAAAAATCCACTGACTCAGCAAGCGGTCTTCCGAAAAGTCCTGATTGCTTTGCAAAAAATCCGCGAGCGGGGTGCGAGAAATCAGCAATCTATTTTTCCGGTGCCCGCCTGTCCCCAGCGATTGTCTGAGCGCTCGCTAAAGGTTTGGCCACGCCACAAAATGTTGCTGACCGCTTGCAGAAAAGCGCAAGTTTGCGGACCACCTGCCCCCGGCGGTTATCTGAGCAGTAGCTAGCATCTTATAGCTGGCAAATCGCGTACGACTGCCGCATGAGGGATGTGCGGGCCTGTCATAATCAAAGCTCGCATTCTCAACGTGAATATTCTTCGTCTGGCTTAGCCTTCACTATAGTTGAATGCTGATAGCTCCCGTTGTTGAAGTGCCTGCAAGCCTC